TTAGGCGCATGTTAATGTATGTTCTATTTTGAGGAAATTATTAAGGTTGCAATTAAACCGATTTAAAAAAAAAAAAAAACAAATCATATAAATGTATATCAAATCTTGTGTTTGTTCAATTTTTTCATATTTTTTTAGTGTTTGGTTTGTCGATGGGTTTTTAGCAGATTTTTGTATTAACATTTTAATTATGCGTAATTTTGTTTGTATGACCGCCATTGTCTTTTTTTTTTTTGTAACCCTCTTTATTTGATTTTTTTTTTTGATTATTTATACATCACCCATCATTCACGAATTCTTTTAAAACATCAAAAGTTCACAGGCGACAACAGAATAGTTAATATTTTAATTAGAAATAAGATATAAATTATTATCATAACTAATTATCAAAGCAATGTAATTCTTTCAAGTGCAGTTGACAATTTGAAAAAAAATAACTCTTAGAAACTGAGGTTATATATACAAAATTTATATAATACAATTTTATATACCCAGGATGAAACACACTCTATATAGCCTTCATTTGGAACCTGGACCAACCCAAATTACTGACTTTACCAATTTTTTTTAATTAGGAATTCGTTAGTCAGAATGTAATAAAAAGTTTAGTTTTGTGTTGAAGAATGAAAAAGAGACAATTATGTATTTCGAATTTTTATAGCCTCTACCATTCTATGGAGGGTATATTAGCTTTGTCATTCCGTTTGTAACTCCTCGAAATATTCATGATAGACCCTACAAAGTCAGCGTAAAATTCTAAGACGATTAGCGATGTCCGTCTTTCTGTCTATCTGTTGTAATCACTATATCCTTCGAACGAATTTAGATAGAAGGCTAAAATTTTGCATACATGCATATTTTCCCAGTAGGCATTTTAAGTTTGGGCAATATCGGTCCACGTTTTCGTATAGCCCCCATAGACGGTACCTCCTGATATTCGGTATTTTCATGATTTTAGCCGCATTATTGACTAGATTTATTTCGAATTTGAAGTTCGTAATGGGTACTACAGTCTATAACAACAATTTTTGTACGCAGGTCCACGTCTTCGTATATCTCCCATATAACAAAACCTCCCGCTATTCGGTATTTTCTTGATTTTTGCGAAATTATTAACTGGAATTGTTACAAATATCGTAAAGGGTACTAAGACAAAAAAAAATCCGAATGCAATTTCTGAATATCTCATGGTATCCACCACGTTCTGGAGTGAACTTACAGTTTCGTGTCTGCTCTGTTGATATTGGCTCCAGCAGAAAATCCTAAAAATAGGGTCAATTCATAATTGCCAACATTTCTTTTTTCCAATATATTTTGGCCGAAATTTTTTAACTTTTCACAAGAGAAAAAATATGAAATTATTTAAATTTTTGACTTTGTCAACCGACAAAAAGACCGAAATAGGGCGTGTATTTTTTTTTTGTAAAAAAATGACCATTCAAACGTGAATATAGTTTAATCACCAAAAACATGAAAATGATCTTTTCTGACCTTTACATCAATGCTGGTGTAAAATAAAAATCGGAGATATAGAAACATATTTACATTTTCAATATTGTTTTGAACATCCATTAGCATGACAGAGAGCGCAAATTCGGGACTTTTGCCAGGAAATTTAGCATGGCTCCTGTAAAAGTCCAAGGTATCCCTTTGGCTTGACTTGATGACAAACTTAAAAGAATAAAATGGACCAAAAACATGCATGTTCATGGAATACTTGAAATATTCTTCTAGGGAATGTAGTTTTGATGAAAATATTGTTTACAGATCTAAGAGGATTGTTTGAACAACCGTAATAATGGCTACATTCGACCTTTAAATTAAAAATTAATACATTTATTATATTCCCTAAATATTGAAAATATCATTTTGAAATAAGTAGTCCACTTTAGTATCCCAATCTTTCGAGGGATATGTTCATTCTAGTCAAAAGGTTTTCAGATATACAGAAACTTGATCGCAAACTTTAGGGTATCGTAAAGACGGACGCACCCGTCCTTTCCTCTTATGTAAGGTAACTTTTTGCTCAATTACCCATTACGAACTACAAACACCAAATTTCAAGCAAATTCCTTAGAAAATGTAGCTAAAACCATCAAAATACCGAATATCGAGAGGTACATGGACTTATACAGCCAATATTCTGCCACCGCAGGTAGAACCCATTACAAACTCACAATGCCAAATTGAAAGAATTGCGTTTAAAAATGTGACTAAAATCACTAAATTATCGAATATCGGGAGGTACTGTTATATGGGGGCTGTACGGAAGAGAGGACCGATATATCTCATTTTCAATACCAACCATCCAAGTTCTACGTGAAAAATGTGGACTGTATCATGAATTCAACAGACAGTCAGCCTGACAGAAAGAATTTTATGCTGATAATAAATATAAACACTTTATGGAGTCTACAACAAATGTTTAGAGATGTTACAAACGGACGGAATATACCCTCCTTTCCAAGGTGGTGGCTATAAAAATTTAAAATAAATGCTTCTCTGGATATTGAAAAAGCGATTGGCTATGTGAAGTGAAGTAGAGTTCTTTTGCATTACCTCAATTTTCAAGAGTGTTTCCAATATTTGGAACTTGCACTTTAAATAACAACTTTCTATTATTATAAGATAACTATTGTAAAATTATCATTTTTTTATAAATATAAACAAGAAATTATATTTGTATATAAAAAAATGTCTTAATAATGTTCAATAATATAAATTACGAATATTTAAGACTTTATATTTATATCTACCAAACTTTTTTACGATGACTTATTTTATTAATTTACAATACTTTACAAACATATTCGAAAATATTCTTATAATATTTTGTAGAAATGGTTTGATGTATTAAGTGAGATATTGGTGATGTTTCGAGTGGCCGAGAATAATATATATATATATATATATATATATATATATATATATATATATATATATATATATATATATATATATATATATATATATATATATATATATATATATATATATATATATATATATATATATATATATATATATATATATATATAATATATATATATATATATATATATATATATAATATATATATATATATATATATATATATATATATATATATATATATATATATATATATAAGTCCCCTGATATTTGGTATTTAGATGATTTTAGCCACATTTTTTACTGGAATGGTCTGAAATTTCACACAAGGATTTCTCTCTGAGTATTTTACTCCCTGAAAGAGAATTGTTTATATAGGTCCCCGATATCGTATATCCCACATATAACGGTACCTCCGATGTACGATATTTTCATGATTTTAGACACATTTTCAATGAAATTGTCTGAAAATCCACACAAGAATTCCTTCTGAGTACTTTACCGCCGGCAAGAGAATTGTCTGTATAGGTCCATGTTTTAGTATAGTCCCCATAAAACGGCGGTCCCCCGATATTTGGTATTTATATGATTTTAGCCATTGTTCGAATTTCGTATTTAAAGTTTGAAGCTCGTAATGAGTGCTACAACCTATGACGGAAAATTGTCTATGCAGGTCCATTTATATTTTTCGATGGATTTTTTTGAAATTATTCAAGATCCTTCAAAATGGTGGAGGATATTAAAAGTTCGGCCCGGTCGAACTTAGCTGCTTTTGTACTTGTACTTGTTTTTTTTTTTTTTTTTTGTAATAAATTAGTAAATCGATTTAAGTAATATTGGAACTTGGCAGCATTATTCGGTATGAACAAATCACACGGGCAAAAATACCAAACATTTTGCATTCAAAATTCCCTAAATTTCCGCAAAAGGGTTCTTCCTTACATATTCTTGCCTAACAAATCTCCACTTGGAACTCTTCTTCTTTCTTGTTCATCAGCTAGCAATTTATATTGAAAGCTCTTGTCGTCTATATATTCATAAACCTTGACTGAACAAAGTCTTCTCTCTTCTGTTTGATATGAAATACTGCTTTAAATACATATAATACGAAACTGTCGACGTTTTATGCAAATACATTGCCATTTAGTTTTTCCAATTGCATATATTGACCAACGACATGACAGGAATGCATTTAAAACATTACAGAAATATGTGTTTTCCGAAATCGCCAAAAACAAAAACATCCGAAATTATAGATATGGTCTCAAAAATATATTCCATAGCATTTTCTTGTTCAATGAGTCTTTAAAAATCAGAGAATCTCCTATAAAAACGTCAGGTCTATTAAATTACAGCAATACGCTATATCATTATATAGCATTATTTTCTATTATGTCTTTGTTTAATGTTAGTAACTTAAAAAATGACATTAGAAAAAGAACGAAATAAATCCTCGTAATCAAACAACTATATCGGATTCCCACAAAACAAATTTAATAAATTTATATAATTTAATATATTATACATTATGTTTAAAATATTGTAAAATAACCTTATAAAAAATCTGTATTACAAATATAATTTCGTACATAATTAAATTTAAAGGATTATAATTATTATTATTTTTTTTTTTTTTTGGAAGATGTACATGCATATAATAAGATTGTAAAAAAATGTATGTAAATTATCATCAAGTGTAAAAGTGTGTGTGTGTGTTTGATTCAACATATTGCAAAAAATCTACAAACACACACATTAAAAAGGCATTATTTAATTAATTAAATAATTAATTAATTAATTGGTCTACTGTGGATCCCCATCATAGAACCACAATCAACATATCTAATATATATTATTAAAATAAATTACGTAAACATTTCGCTGGGCATACCACCTCAAATTGGGAAAAGAAAAAAACAACATTGACCACATATATGACAAGGGCACTTATCAATAATTTAATGTTTCCAAGAGAAGAAATGAATTATGCTTTTAAGTACTCTCACTCTCTCAGAATACTATTCCAAGTATGACCCCGAAAAGAAATTCAATTTAATGACATCCTTTTTAAGTTCTAAGCTCTAGAATAAATGTACAAATTTGTCTTTTCGAACTCTTCCTTTCCACAGTGTTTACTTTGATCCATACCTAGCAGCCGCTGCAGCATCTGCTGATCCCAATTTACGTTTTCAGGTAAGTGGACGAGTTATGTAAAATCATTGTTTAGGTTGATACATAATATATATATATAGGCCAGTAAGCTATACAAATCTTTATCTAGATTAAGATTTTTTCTATGATATAAGTGTATTTATTTAATTATTTAATTTTGTTTTATTCACATGCACACACGACTAATATTGTGTGCATGTGTATTTTGACTCAGCCAATTTATGTTCATTTATTTTTTTTTTTTTGGTTTAATTGACTAAAATACAACAAGAATTATATAAAACAAAAATACGTAACATTTTGCAGGCAGCCAAACCGGTCAACGAAGTTCCAGCAGCACAGCCAGCAGCAATTATAAATGTAATCATTGTTTTGTTTTTATTATGATTATTGTTATTATTATTATTCTTATCATTATGCAAATACTCTATAAAACTGTATTATAATTATTATATAATTTATTATCACTTCTACTACAACTATTGTTATTTATTGTCACCATCAAATCCACCACCGAAAGAAAACAAAAACAAATGAAATGAAAAGAAAAGAAAACCATTCATCACTTTTAATTTCTGTTATCGTCTACTACCACATATCCCATTACTATTTATTTCATTGTTGTTATTATTATAATATAATAACTGTTATTATTACCTTTTGTAAAATTAGTTGTACAACAAAACAACACCTTTTTGCTGTGGTCCCCCCGAAAGTATGCTTCATTTGTTTGTTAAAAAATAAAAGAACTTAGTTTTTCAAATATCCTCTCCTAAAACTTTTTTGTCTGCCATAAAGTTTCTTCTTGAGTATTTTGATGCAAATTTCATATTATTACCATTTATTTATTTGTTCGTTTGTTTGTTTCTTGTTTTATTTGACTTTGGTTTGAGGCTTTTAATTTGTTTTGATTTTTTATCCAAACTAAAGCAACAATAAGTACTAAAGCGATGTACTATGTAGTGAGTCGTAATTAATTAATTATTAATAATCAGTCTTAGCAATTTATTTGGTTTAAATGAAAACGACATTGGGTGATAGCATGTTCTTATATAATAGAATTACTTCAATACAACCCGACATGTAGTCGAAGAATGACAAGGTACACTAGTAAAAAAAATATAGTCTGAACTACAACAAAGACTCAGTTAACATAAATACAAATACTTAATTTTCAACTGAGACAAATGAAATTGAATATTTGTGGAAGGTACCAGAAGAAGTTGGCCCCTATTTACACTAAGTCTAATACATATATTATACCCCTGACATTATTTGTTTTACAGGGTGAGATGAAAAAACTGCAACCAACTTCAGACTGCTTTCATTTCTAAGCCACTCCTCCGATATGTTGTTTACCAGCGTACAAAAGCATTTTGGTGTGAATTCTCCAGAAAAAAAATTGCTCGTGATGGAATTCGTGAGCTGAACTTATCGCAACATTCCTTTCGGCAAATATTGAAAAATGAGCTTGGGGTAAAGCCATTGAAATTCTATAAAGTGCAAAAACTTCCAAAGTGCAAGAACCGCAACAGAAAGAAAATAGACTCAAAAGAGCTAAAGAGTTGCTTCGCTTGGCGATTCGTTGTCCAGCAGTTTGTAAACAAACCAAATGATCGTGTTTACTTGCCAAAGAGGTCAACTGAAAATGTGCACCTTCGGTTGACCACCAGAACTCAAGCGCCGGCCATGGTGGTGTGGTCCGCCATAACAGCCGACGGTCACTCTCCGCTCGTATTAATCGACCGTGGCATCAGAATAAATGCCGAATATTATCGCGAAAATATTCTGTAGGGTGTTGTATTAAAGTCTTGGGCACGCAAACATTTTAGCCATACCAAAGTGTCGATCACCTCAAGCAAGCGCTTCGCCGGGAATGGGGCCAAAATACCGCAGAGCGACATTTGAACAGCGTGTGACGGTTTCATTGACCATTACAGTGTTTGACTTTGTTGCATTTTTTTTTATCTCGCCCTGTATATGTTCTAATTGAACCTAAATCGATTTAACATTGTTGATCGCATTTGGAATTAGAGCCCTCACTATTTCTTTGAAAGAATTTGGACTATATCCTTTCGTATTAAGTTATAGCCTTTCATGTAATGGTGCCTCCTGATTTCCGATATTTTGAAGGTTTGAAAACAATCGAATATACTCTATTTTTCGATGTCGCTCAAAATAGAGTTAGCTTGATTCTCTTATTTTATGTTGGAAGAAAAATTCGCTCGAAATCGAGCAGACTCTACTTACTCTTGCCAAACGGTCTTTCCTGTTGCACACAAAAGTAATTACAAACCAAGTTATTATTGCCACTAGAATTTACTCTTGGATCAAACTCTTGCTCTATTACGAGCGATTCGACTCCCAATCTAATTTTACAAACGGGAGTGATTCGGTAACAATCCCACATAAAACATAAGAGTATAAAACACTCACTCCTCGATTACTCCCCCTCGCGAGCAAGTTTCACTCGCAAGTTAATTTAAATTGTGCGAGCTCTACGGTAATTCAAACTTACAAGTTGAATTCGATCTAGAATTTTACACTAATCACAAATTGGGCGAATATTCAGAGGTTTTGCAAACGAAATTGAATGTACCCTCGATTTTATAGTGGGTGTATAAAAGGCACATAGAATGCGGACGAAGTCCACGACAAATCCCAATCTTCACACATCCTAATATTTTTTTCAAACTTAGGTCAGGTGAGAAAATTGAAAATATCGCTCTTTCTGGAACCTCCCTACCGAAGGAACTTTTGCAGTATTGGTATAGATTCGTTTACACTTTCTGGAAACTCCAATATGTTGGGAAATTGTGAATCCAACATAAGCTTAGAAAGAGAGAGGACTCATTATAAATCGTCTTACTAAAATAATTATTTTAAAAAGGATATATTGTTCGAATATCGCCTCATTACAAATGAGCTGACAAATATAGGGAATATTTTTCGAAAAGTTTTTTTTTAAGTTTTTCAGAACAATAAATTTGACGGAGACATTTTAAGCTTTTATACCAATAACATTGCGGTTCGATTAAATTTGGCGAAGGTATTTCCGAGCTATATAAGATATCTGGTACCAAATATCATTGTTTTCGAATACATATTACAAATGTGAGGGACTTAAACACCAAATTGGAGAAAACATATATGTGGGAACTATATCTGAATCTGGACCAATTTTTAAATTTGATTTACTTGATTCTAGACTGAATTCGGTCGAATGTGCAAAAATTCAGGTCATTTGGACTGATATTGCCCATTCGGTGCACAATTAACCTGAAATCGGTTGAAGACATATATGGAAGCTATCTCCAAAATTGAACCGATCTTGATACAATTTGTCAGAGGCATTTCTGGACTGTATCTGATATCTGGTACCAAATATCATTCTTAACCGAGTTTCACCAAATTTGATTTACATGCTTCTAGACTGAATTCGGTTGGATGTGCCAAAATTCAGATCATTTGGATTTATATTGGCCATTTGGTACAGAATTAACTTGAAATCGGTTGAAGATATATGGGAGCTATATATAAATCTAATCCGATCATCACCAATTTCAATAGGGATCGTCCTTGGGCCAAACAATTAATGTTTGGAAAATTTCCTCTCAATCGTATAAGAAATGCAACCTGCGGACGGGCAGACGGACTGATAAATCGACTCAGAAAGTGATTCTATGAAGATCCTCAAAAGTAAATATGGGTCTATCTCGCTTCCTTCTACAGTATCTGAAGTGGGATACTGTAGCTGTTTTAGCTAATACCGACAAAAATCGGTATCCTTCAAACGCAAGATTTTTATGCCAAAATTATTAAAATTTGACAACATTGTTATCTATCAGTAGGTCGTAACGACTATGTAATTTCATTGCAAACTTACCGACAAATTACGTTAATTACCGAAAATATAAGCAATTGAACAATTGATGTTTATACTATCGTTAAGTAGCCAGGAGTCTCAAGAAGAAGTATTTTCGTCTAATGACGTATTTACCTTATCTCCAGCACAGTCATGTGATGAGGGTATATATCTGTTAGAAAACCGACTGATTCATTCATACTTGTTAGTATTCTCTTACTATAGAATATGGCTCTTTACTTTGTGGGCAATTTTATACATCTTTTTGACATAGTGCCTGCAAAATGAATATTAGTTATTGTTGAATATATTTACTAATAGAAGAGCTAATTTTTGCTAAGGAAAAATACAAAAATAGCTATAAATTAAAGACGAAAATACTAAATCACTTATTCGAGTTTGTAGAAGATAAAACCTTTTCTTTGCATATAAATATTAATGATAGGACACACATGCCTAGAGCCTTTATGGGTTACCTTTTTTTATTGATACAGACTTATTAAAAGAATTTAGAATTTGAAATGACATTAAACTTTGGGAAAATACATTCGATTTCTTTAAACCACAGGATTGATTGTATATTCTGCTATAGAAGCCCTTAGATTAACATAACTTGCTCATGCATCATAAAAGGTCTTATGAAGAAAAACACCAACAACGACAAAAATATTTTCTTCTTATTTTTTATTATCTTCACTTAGTACCATACAATACTTCTTTGTAGTCTTAACCATACAATTCTTTTTGTTGGTCTTTTTTATATTACAAGCATTTTATTCCTCATTGTGTTTTTGGTTTTGTAAAATAACTGCTATGTAATATTTGCTATATGTATTATAACATAGATACATTTCTCATTCATTCATTCATCCATTCACCCACACAAGAACACAGTCCATTTCTCTCCTCTATTTACCTATATATATATATAAATAATGATACATATATACATAAATACATTTGTTAAAAAAGACGAAGAGTATATAAATATACCATTATCGAAATTTACTTAAAACTTACAGCGCCGCACTGTGACAACGCTAAACAGTAACCACCCACATACGATCAACCGCATACCGGTACCACAGAATGTTTTGGTAAAAATTTAATATGAAAAAAAACAACAATATACGCTATTTTAGATTTCCAAAAAAAATGTTGTTGTTTGTTGTGTTATTTGTTGAATTACACATTCACTGATTTGTATGTTTTTTCCATTGTTTGTTGGCTTGCTCCTTTTTCCCGTTTCGTATTTCCATATAAATTATATTTATGCATAAATCATTTAAAAATCGGACTTATTAACCAAAAGCATGTTATTGGACTAAGAAACAATTGTTTAAAATTTAATAATATGCAAATTGTTGCAAAACAAAATCGTTGGGACTGTCCTGAAAACATACGAAATTTGAGTGGCCATATAGAATATGGATATGTTTTTTGACAAAAAAAAAAATTGCATTTTTCGGTAGGGACGTAACATACAGGGTGAGATAAAAAAACTGCAACAAAGTCAAACGCCGTAATTTTTACTTTTTTTAAATTTTATTGAATGAAAGCTAAAAATTTCGGAAATAGCATCAAATTTTAGAATAAGTTTAGATTTGTTCGAATTGCTCACCTTTGGTACGAATAATGGCCTTTAAACGGCCAATGAAACCGTCACACTGTGCCCAAATGTTGCATTGCGGTATTTTAGGCCATTCCCAGCGAAGTGCTTGCTTGAGGTGATGGACACTTTGGTATTTTTTTGTGACAACCTTGCTTTCCAAAATACTCCAGACACAATAGTCCAACGGATTGGTATCCGGAGATTTTGGTGGACATTGTGCGCTGGAAATGAAGCGAAGAACCTCATTTTGTAACCATTCTTGGGTGGCGCGTGCTGAGTGCGAAGGTGCTGAGTCCTGTTGGAATGTCCAAGGTCTGCGGCCAAAATGTTTGCGTCTCGCGATAATATTCAGCATTCATTTTGATGCCACGGCCGATTAATACGAGCGGAGAGCGACCATCAGCTGTTATGGCGGCCCACACCATCACCATGGCCGGCGCTTGAGTTCTGGTGGTCAACCAAAGGTGCACATTTTCAGCTGACCTCTTTGGCAAGTAAACATGATCATTTTGTTTGTTTATAAACTGTTGGACAACGAATGTTTTCTCATCGGAGAAAACCAAATTCGGTAGTTCATCCCGAGCTCATTTATCAATATTTTCCGAATGGAATATTGCGATATGTTCAGCTCACAAGCCATTTTTCGGCCACTGCGACCCGGTTTTCGATCAAGTCGCTTCTTTACTTTTCGAACCATTTCTGCTGATGTTGCTGTTTTCTTCCGTCCACTTCCTTGACGTTGGGCTACGCTAGCAGTATCATGGTAACGATCGATGGTACGAGACACTAAAATTTACACACATTTAAATGCGGGAGTACTCTAACGATAGCCACTCCAGACAAATATAAAGAAATCACACTATCACGCTTGAATTCCAGCACGAATAACTTTTTTTCTGGAAAATTCTCATCAAAATGCTTTTATACGCTTGTAAACATAATGTGCTATCACTGGAATAATTTGAACAGCTGTCGGACGACTGGCTTAAAAATGACAGCAGTCTGAAGTTGGTTGCAGTTTTTTCATCTCACCCCGTATATGGATTCCTGGCGTTTATGTAAGATTTAGACTTTTGGCGTCTTCTAGGACCTGTAGTAGAATTTTTTGACAATAAAATTTGTAGAATATTTTGACTTGTTAAGATCCCGCTTAAAGTAAGTTTTTAGCCATATTTAAAAAAGGACCATAAAGATCCCCTTTCTTGGGTCGCTTGAGGGTTGCCGGAGGCACTATATACCTAAAGCGCCCGGATTCCGAGGAATCTTACCCAGAAAATTGCCGATAGTGGTGAAGAGGGGGGAACTTGAACCCTCTATTTTGATTTCTTTTCGATATGAACTTTCAAAACGCCGATAAACGTATCTTTTTTTACACCCTCATCCATATGGCTAGAGAGAGTATATATCATTTGATACGGTCAAAACGTGCCTCATCGAAATAACGGTTTTAGGCCATAGGTCTCTTTGGACCAAATCCGTTTCAAGACATTTGACGTCGATTTATCGATGTTCGTCCGTCTGGCTGTCTGTCCATCTGGCTGGTGCGCACGATAACTCTCGATTTGATCCAAACATCGTAGTATTATTATCAAACTTAGATCGATTTCGAAGACGGGCAATATCGGTCCACTCATTCTTGTTCTTCCCTCACAAAATGTATACATTTTCAAAGAAAATAATTTACTGCACAGAAAGAGAAGGGATAGTCCGATTTTGCTCCAACTTTCCAAATCCTAATATTTGTATCGGTGCTGGGTCAGGTGCGAAAATAGACAATGTCGGCCCACTCCATCAATAATAATTTGGATTATATTTACTGTTATTAAATGTGAAAAAACTCCGATTGTCTTCAAATTACACACATCACAATATTCTGGTGTGAAGATGAAATATATCGAACCACTCCTTCTGGTACCTCCCCCACAAAGGGCCAACATTTTGAATAAAACACGAAATAAACATCCGATTCCATTCACACTTGGCATATCACAATATTTCCATCAACACAAGATCTGTTATAAAGATGGTGTAGATCGGACCATCTCTTCTGATACCTCCCGCGCATAGGGTTCACAATTTTGAAGAACAAAACGCTCAAAGAAAGCGAAATAGGTATCCAACTCTCTTCAAATTTCACACATCCAAATATTTTTGCAACGCAAGATCTGTTGTGAAGATGATATACATCTTCCAACCCCTTCTGGTGCCTCACCCACAAAGGGTCACAATTTCCAATGATTATATTATTATAACTTGCGAAACAAATCGCCGATTGTTTACAACTTGCTATATCTAAATATTTCAGTTAACCAGAAATCTGATATACTTTTCTTTGATAGATGGGAACCATAAATAAGACTAGGCATTCAATTTTCTGTACAAAGTTAAAATTTGTGACAACATTTCATCAAAACTGATGCATACATTAGCCCTTTTCCTCTATGTACAAGAACTTTCATATTTTTAAAACGAGACGTGTTCGTGTACGCAAAATATCAGCACAATTCTAAAAAGGACCCGATTTACACCAAAGTTGAATATACATTCTTACCCATGGTAGAATCAACAAGTAAAAAAGCTGTAAGTTAGATTTTGGCAATTTTCAAAAAAATAAAATCCGTTAAAAATTATGTTAAAATCTTAAAATGGCAAAAGTAGCCGTTATATTAGGATCTATACAACGACGTGGACCTGCATAGGCAACTTTTGTCATAAACCATTTCAATATTCAAAATTCGGTGAATAATGCAGCTAAAATCATCAAAATTCCGAATATAGCGAGGTACCATTATATTGGGGCTATACGAAGACATAGATCTGCATAGACAATTTTCAGTCATAGGCTGTAGCATCCGTTACGAACTTCAAATACCAAATTTGAAACAATTCTGTTTAATAATGTCGCTAAAATCATCAAAATACCGAATATCGGGAGATACCGTTGTATGGGGGCTATACGACGACGTGGACCTGCACAGAGAATTTTCTGTCATAGGCTGTAGTACCCATTGCAAACTTCAAATACAAAATTTTAAACATTTCCGGCGAATGATGTCGCTTAAATCACTAAAATACCGAAAAAGGGAGGTACCATTATATGGGGGCTATACCAAAACGTAGGTCCATTTTTAATACCAAGAGTCCTGCAGACATAATATGCATTTGAGTAAAATTTTATCAACCTACTTCATTTCGTTCAGAAGCTAGATTGATTTCCACAGATGGACAGACTGACGGACAATGCTAAATCGACATAGAATTCTATGTGGATCAAAAATATATATACTTTGTGGGGTATAAAATCTACATTTCGAGATGTTACAAACGGAATGACAAACTTAATATACCCTCCATACTATGATGGAGAGTATAAATAAAGTAAAGTCATTTCAATTACCATATTCAACTCTGCATTTTCTGCAACTTACATTGCCAAATTTCACGTCCCTGCAAGCGGGTCCCCATTTCTGGTTTGTGTACGTATAATGGCTTTATAAATATGCATTTAGACAATGAGATGTCAAAGGAATAATATTGAAAAATTTGTAAAGATATGACTTTACCTTTTTAATTCTACCATGTTCTAACCCGAATCTTTTTTATTGATTTCTGAGGAGATTTGCTTTGACTGAAAATTACATTTCAAACAACAATTCAATTCTGCTTTAATTCTGGATGGTGAAAGGCAACCTTTTTTCTGACAACACAAAATTTTTAGCATGATATTTTTATTATTTCTATTTATATTTGTAGTTTTAGTTTTAGTTTTTTTTTTTTTTTCACTATTATAACCTTCTTTAATTGCAGTCATTGACCAGGTGTTGCTGTGTGTTGGAATTTATTTATATTTAATTTTAATAGTTGAAAAAATTAACCTAGAGTAACATGAAGATCACAATATTGATTAATGATGAAAAGCAATATCGGAAATATTGCCAGCATGTTAAGTTTGTTTTTCGGATTACAAACAAAACAAAAACCGAAATGTTTGAATTGTATAATTGTTACAGATATAGCACTGGCTTTTATTAACTTCTAATAGAGGTGAAAGGTTAACAATATTTTGGAATGACTCTTATAAATTTTCGTTTGTTTTTACATTTTTGCATTGGCGTTTCGTCCAATTGTTACGTTTTATGTAAATGCATTTAATTTGTGGAAAGCATTCTTAGCTGTATTTTGTTGAGAAAAATTGCAACCCATTGTGCAATATGTCTTGAAATTATTATTGCAAATTGCACTAAGCTAACACAGGTTAACTTTGATCGGTTTTTGTAATGGTATTAAATGTTTTTTTGTTATAAAATTCAATTCACTTATACAATTCTGCTTATCAACTAATTATACATATACTTATACTATATATGTATGACTATTATTAATTTATTAGCATATTTATATTAGTTAAAACAAAAGCAACAACAACAAATAATTTTCCATCCACCACAAGTTTGTTTCATGCCAATTGGTTATCACTAATACCAAAAATGTACAAAACAAAAACTCACCTCAAACTGTTCTCTATATTTTTTTTTTTATTATTTATCAAACCTGTCGTATGCTTTGTTTGACCTCTCAACCATTCGAATTGATTTGTTATTATTGTAATTATTAATTTGCATTTTATTGGCCATTTTACAGGCTGCTGCTCCTCTGTTAAAGACACCCTTGTCTCAGGCTCAACAGGCTTATGCTACGGCCGCTACCACCTATACAGCTGTGGCCGCAACTAGAGCAGCATATGGCGCTGCTGCTGCCGCTGCAGCTCAGCCAGCATTGGCTGGTTATGCCACCGTTGCGGGGTAAGTTTTTTTTTGTTACTTTTATGGTTTATTGCTTTTTTTAACATATTGTAAATAAATATGTGATTATGTATTTAACGCTCATAAAACACTGTGCTACAAAAATTCAATTCAAATGGTCTTCAGGTGATATGGGATCTCCCTCAAGAAAAAAATACACCACACAATAATTCAAAAGTTGTACTTATGTCCTTTAATATTTTAATGTCTAGGTTGCAAGAATACTTTCTTGTTGGCGCCCAACGTGAAGCTCCTATTATGTAGCAGGTTTTGGTATGTCGATTTTAGAAATAGTTTAAAATTCCAATTCCAAATAAACAAGTTAAAAAGTATCAGTCGGTTCTGCCGACAGACGTATACCCTCAGCAAATGATCGATTATTTAAATATATTTCGACATCTGTTATGATTATTCAAACTCTTGACCCTCTATGGAGTGGGAATGGGCCAATATTGTTTATTTCAGATCGGACCTAAATAAATACGGTATAAATATTGCTGCAATGTGCCAGATTTGGTCTATATTGGAAACTTCATCATAAAATCCATATTCATCCCAAGTTTCTGGTTGAGAGAAATATTTAGGTATAGCAAATTGTAAAGAATCGCTGACTTGTTTCGTAGGTATTGAAAATTGTGATCCTTTGTGGGTGAGGTACCAGAAGGGGCTCGCAGCTATCATCTTCACAACAGATTTTGTGTTATCAAAAATGTTTGTGTGTGTGAAATTTGTTGAAGAGAGTTGAATGCTTATTTGGCTTACTTTGACTGTTCGGCTTCTCAAAATCTTGAACCCTATGGGGGGGGAGGTACCAGAAGTAATGGTCTGATCTCTACCATCTTTATAAGAGACCTTGTGTTGATGGAAATATTGAGATGTGTCAAGTCTGAATGGAATCAGATGTTAATTTAGCGTTTTATGAGCTTCATGGTTACTCAAAATTTTGTTCCTTTGTGGGGGAGGTACCAGAAGGTGTTGGCAGATGTATATCATCTTCACAACAGATCTTGTGTTAGTAGAAATGATGGAATGTGTGAAATATAAAGGATTCTGATGCTTATTTCGTATTTTATAAACGTTTTGGTCATTCAAAACTTTGACCCTTTGTGGGGAGGTACCAGAAGGAATGGTCCGATCTCTATCGCCTTTATAACAGATCCTGAGATGATAGAAATGTTCAGATGTGTCAAGTCTAAATTGAATCGGATGTTTATTTCGCGTTTTATGAGCTTAATGAATATTTCTACCTTTTGTGGGGGAGGTACCAGAAGGAGTGGACCGATATATTCGAACTTCACACTAGACCTTGGGTTAATAAAAATATTGGGATGTGTGAAATTTAAAGTCAATCGGACTCTTACATCACATTTTATAAGAGTTGTAATTATTCAAAATTTTGAACCTTTGTGGGGGAGGTACTTGATAGAGTGGACCGACATTGTCCATTTTCGCACCTGAACTAGCAATGCCGCAAATATTTGGATTTGCAAAGTTGGAGCAAAATCCGATTATCGTTTCTCTTTCTGAGCAGAAAATTCGATCTAAGTTTGACAAAAATATTACGATGGACCAAGTTTGGACCAAATCGGATACTCCCTTCGAGAGTTATCGTGCGCACCAGCCAGATAGACGGACAAGCGGACGGACATCGCGACATTGTCCTGAAACGGATTTGGCACAAAGATACCTAGGGTTTAAACCGTTATTTCGATGAGGCACGTTTTGGCCGTATCAAATGAGGGTATATATCATCTAGCCATTTGGCCGAGGGCATAAAAATACTAACTATTATAGACAATCCTTATAGAAATCTTGGCATGTTTTATTTGGAATCGAAAATTATTTATAAAATCTGCACATCAAACCTACTGCAACAATTCTAAGTCGATTTTTCAAATGTTTTAATTGAAAAATCTAAAATCGAAGCCAATATTTCTTCAAATAAACGAGTAGATCAAAAGAAATTAATATTGATGTAGCACAGTGTTTCTATATTCTTACATACAATCATACGATAAAAACTGTTCATTATTTATAATCTGAAAAATTGGAAACCACAGTTTTTAAAATATTTTTGTTGAAAGGGTTTCTGTTTTAATTTTTTAATTGCTAATTATTACATAATAAATCATTTTAACATTTCCGTTTATATCTTTTGTTTTATTTTTTGTAAAATTACTTTTATAATTTTCTTTTACTAAATTTTATTATTTCTTGTTTTTTATTTTTATTTTTTGTAGCATAAGCAAGATAAGAAAAACAGAACAATTGAAAAATTTACTAGAAGATTTTTGCAAAGATCTAACAAAAATTAACAACTTTGATTAGAATTGGCAGATTTTTTTTCATTTACATTAACATTAATTTATTGATACAACAACATCAACTAACCTATGGAGAAGTCGCGAATCATGAAAACTAACTACCATCTTAACTAATCTCAAATACAAAATTGAATCCAAATAATATATATGTTTAAGAAATATTTGATATTGCACTTCTGATATTTCTATTATTTTTATTTTTTATGCAAACAGTTATGCCCGAGAATATGCTGATCCTTATTTAGGACATGGCATTGGACCCGTGCCCGGATATGGGGTAAGAAATTACTGTTGTTATTCTTATTATTCTTATTGTTATTATTATTATTATTATTATTATTATTATTATTATTATTATTATTATTATTATATTATTATTATTATTATTATTATTATTATTATTATTATTATTATTATTATTATTATTATATTATTATTATTATTATTATTATTATTATTATTATTATTATTATTATTATTATTATTATTATTATTATTATTATTATTATTATTATTATTATTATTATTATTATTATTATTATTATTATTATTATTATTATTATTATTATTATTATTATTATTATTATTATTATTATTATTATTATTATTATTATTATTATTATTATTATTATTATTATTATTATTATTATTATTATTATTATTATTATTATTATTATTATTATTATATTATTATTATTATTATATTATTATTATTATTATTATTATTATTATTATTATTATTATTATTATTATTATTATTATTATTATTATTATATTATTATTATTATTATTATTATTATTATTATATTATTATTATTATTATTATTATTATTATTATTATTATTATTATTATATTATTATTATTATTATTATTATTATTATTATTATTATTATTATTATTATTATTATTATTATTATTATTATTATTATTATTATATTATTATTATTATTATTATTATTATTATTATTATTATTATTATTATTATTATTATTATTATTATTATTATATTATTATTATTATTATTATTATTATTATTATTATTATTATTATTATTATTATTATTTTATTATTATTATTGTTATTATTATAATTATAATTATTATAATTATAAAAAACCCACATGGTATAATCATTTTGAAATAGTCCTGTTTGTAATAAGAATTTCCATCTCCATAATTTTCTGTAATTTACCTTGTCAAATTTAACTCCCTAGAAAGCTAGTTCCCATCTCTGAACTGTTTTTCATGGGGTGATACGGCTTTTTTACGTTTCGTATTTTTTACTGTTAAACATATTCAGTTTGGTCGATAATCTAACCATCAATCACCGTGCAAACGAATTTGAATCAAAAATCTTGTCTTGCATGACATGTAGTTTCAACAAGACGGTGCCACATGCCACACAACACGGCGTGTCCAATGAACATTTTATTTCCGGTCAATTGCCCGGTTAGATCGTGGGATTTAACGCATTTCTTGAAAACTTTCCTTTCCTATAGCTCTTAAAAAACACCCTTTACAATGGACTTATGAATTCACATTTTAACAATTAGATGTTATTAAAGCTCGAAGATGTTCAGTCCAAAACTAGTTCAACATCTCCATTTGTAAACCTTAGAAACCAGCAGTTATATCACTACCAAATTTCAAAATTTCAGCTCTATCCCTTCACCTAATGCCATATCGAGTACCATTTCGTACAAGGACAGGGTGAGATAAAAAACTGCAACAAAGTCAAACGCCATACTTTTAACATTTTTTTTTAAATTTTATTGAATGAAAGCAAAAAATGTCGAAAATAGCATCAAATTTTAGAATAAGTTTAGATTTGTTCGAATTGGTCACCTTTGGCACGAATTATGGCCTTCAAACGGCCAATGAAACCGTCACACGGTGCCCAAATGTTGCTCTGCGGTAGTTTGGCCCATTCCCGACGAAGGGCTTGCTTGAGGTGATCGACACTTTTGCACTTTTAGTGCCAACCTCGCTTTTTAAAATACTCTACACACAATAGTCCAACGGATTGGTATCCGGAGATTTTGGTGGCCGTTGTGCGCTGGAAATGAAGCGAGAAACCTCATTTTGTAACCATTCTTGGGTTGCGGGTGCTAAGTCCCGTTGGAATGTCCAAGGTCTGCCGCCAAAATGTTTGCATGCCCAAGGCATAATACACCCTCCAGAATATTTTCGCGATAACATTCGGCATTTATTCTGATGCCACGGGCGATTAATACGAGCGGAGAGCGAGTATCGGCTGTTATGGCGGCCCACACCATCATCATAGCCGGGGCCGGGTGATTTCTGGTGGCCAACCGATGGTGCACATTTTCTGCTGACCTCTTTGACAAGTAAGCACGATCATTTTGTTCGTTTACAAACTTCTGGACAATGAATGTTTTCTCATCGCAGAAAACCAAATTCGGCAGTTCACCACTTTCGGCCAAGTGAAGCAACTCTTCAGCTCTTTTGAGTCTATTTTCTTTCTGTTGCGGTGTAAGTTCTTGCACTTTTTGGAATGTCAACGGCTTTACCCCGAGCTCATTTTTCAAAATTTGCCGAATGGAATATTGCGATATGTTCAGTCCACTTTCTTGAGATCGGGTTACGCTGCCAATATTACGGTAACGAGCGATGGTACGAGACACAAAAGATTTATTCACATTTAAATGCTGGAGTGCTATAAGCCAGCTTGTGGTTTTGCAGAGAAATGTAAGGAAATCACACTATCACGCCCGAATTCCACCACGAATAACTTTTTTTCTAGAAAATTCTCGCTAAAATGCTTTTGTACGCTTGTAAACAATATAATGAGCTGTCACTGGAATAATTTTAATAACTGTCGGACGAGTGGCATTGAAATGACAGCAGTCTGAAGTTGGTTGCAGTTTTTTCATCTCATACAGTACCGATTTACAAAATCACCTCCATATCCCAATTCCAGATACCACCTCCATATATCAATTCCTTGGTATCTGTAATTGAGATATGGAGGTGGTAGACCTTCACTCATTACCAAATTTAGTACCATTTAGTACTTTTCGTACAAATATAGAACGCATTTCCAAAACATTGCCAAATCTCAAATACAGACATCATCAGTAATCTTAACATCAAATTTCAGAATTTCGGCTCTATTCCTTCACCCAATACAAAATATAGTACCATTCAGTACTTTCCATACAATTAGAGTACACATTTCCGAAACCACTTCCATTTGTTCAGGATACACAGCTTCACCCGTTCACTCTATATCTAACTATTCCAAACTTAGCACACATTTCCAAAACCACCTTCATATTTCAAACGTATTTTCCAACCTTAATTTGAATACCAAATTTTAGCTCTATCCGTTCACACTTTTCGTAACCATAAAGTTCGAATTTCCAAAAACCCTTTGGTTCCTCAATCCTACACTCTATTAGTGACTCGAATTCATTTTTCCATTTTTCCAATATAATGTATTCAATTTTTAGTGCATTTTGTCTGGTGAAAATTTTCAAGATTCTAGCCTCAGCCGTTTCGTCTGGGTGGTACATATATCCTGCTCTCCATTAGTGATTCTCGTCCCAAATTTTAGAATTCTAGTTCACTACGTATAAATATTGATTTATTCTTATGCATTTTATTAATACATTTTTATTTTTTGCAGGCAACAATGTATCGCGGAGGATTCAATCGCTTTACACCATATTAAATTCGATGTGGAAAATTACTGAAGAATATCCCAAAAAATGCTCAACAACCTTTAATTTGGTTGCAACACAATGTTGAAAAAAATATTTTATTAAATAATATTAACAAAAAAAAAAAACAAAATCAAATGCTCAAACAAACAAGTTAATATGCCTCCAGAAAATACTCATGCAACAAATAAATGATCACCCAAAGAAGAGACGTTACACTCAAAGCGAGGAGGACCCACAACATCCAACAACCAAATGGAATAAAAGTGTTTTAAAGAAAAACATTACCAATTGCAACAGAATATTTAAACAGAACAAAAAGGAAAAATTTACACTTTTATTGAAAACAAAAAATTGAAAAAGCAACAACCAATCGATTACTACACACCCACACACAAAACCACAAAGTAATTTATAATAGAAACTAAAAATAAATAGCATAACGAGAGTAGTTTTGTTCAAATTCAATGTCGTCCAGCAAATAAAATTTACAAAAAATTTGTAGTATTTAAAAATAATGAACAAACAAAAAAGAAAAGAAATCACACAAAAAATCAACAAAATTAATTAAGAAAATTTAATTATAAAAAAATAGATTTATACCAAAAACAATCGAAAGATGTAACACAACACACATACACACAAAATTTTAAGGGCTTCTATTTTGTTGATTAAGTATAAGTAAAAAATCTAAATACAAACACTTCTTTAGATATCGAACCTTTGTCAGCTGCAGGTTTAAGAAAATAATACACATTTTTTTCAATTATTCTGTTTAGCCATAATGGCCAGCCCTTTTCTTCGTTCACACAAAATCTTTTGTGTTAACTAGAATGAAAAGTGGCTAAGTGAAATACAAAATTGTTTCTAAAAAGTGCTGTGTTGAACAGTTTTTAAATTATATAATAAAAAATCAACCTCAAATTCATGTTAAGAAAAAATTAAGTCAGATAAGATTAATATTTTTTTTAATTGTTTACAATTATTACAAAGAAAATGGCAGCATAAGCTTTTTTTAATATCAGGTAAATTTAATAGTAATTTTTTAATTTAAAATTTTTTAATGAATATATTATTTGTTTTTTTTTTCTCCTTCTTCGTTGCTTCCAATTTTTTTCTTAATTTTAGATAATTAATATAATAATTTAGATAATTTGAAGTTCATCAAAATTAAATATAAATCTAGAGTGCAGCATAACTAAATTCCATTATGTAAGGTTATAGATAAAACGATAAATTAGGATTGTTTCTCAAAAAAAATGCACACAAATCACAAAGTTTTATTCCGACCAAACCGAATTAAATATATTGCAATATGTGAAAAGTCCAAAGAATATTATACCATTACATTTTCGAAATATCGGTAACATTTGGCGTGTTAATTTACTTGAAGGCATAAACCAGGCAATTTTAATATTCAAGAGATGTGAGCACTCTGGCAGCAAAAACGGATCCCCCCTATGGCGATGTTTCACAAAAGTGGAACACAATGTCAAATGAAAACACTTCTAACATTTGTAACTAGTTATGCTGTACATTTTTTCACGAATTACTTCGAGAAAATAATTCACTTCCTTGCAATTTTTAAAATACTCCAATTGAAATTGATCAGCCCGTATTTCGTCTAATCAACAAATACTCAATTCGTACGTAAAAATACTCATGGCAAAAGCTAATTTGATTTGAAAATCAAAAACAGAAAATACTCAGAAACATATTAAATATTTTTTCTTTAGTTATAGGTCTTATGATATGATATTTTACCAATTGAGAAATCTTCCGAATTATGCAGGTAACTTCTAAACAGTACTCAAGTAACTATTCCCTTTCGTCATGTGCCGTCAACATCACCCAGTTACTTTTGTTTGCAAGTTATTTAAGTTTTCGGGAATATATATTATTGGGCTCCCAATGATTTTCAAAAACACTGCCTGCAATTGAAGGAAGTTTAAATTTAATTTCATTTAAATTAGAGTTATCGTATTTTAACGATCCAAACGAGTTTTAATCTCGCATACAGTCATATAAATATTTTAAGCCTTTCTTTTATATTCTTCGTTTTTTGGTTCCTTTTTACAATTTTAGAATTTTTAGTTATTGTTATTTTTATTATTGGCAGCTACATTTATTACTTCATCACCTACTTTTAGCTTAAACAAAAATAATTCATAAAAAAAAAATTAAAACCAACATAAAATTAAAAATTAGTGAAAAACGTAGACATATCCTTGATATATACAATAAAAATTTATATAAATGCAAAAAAAAAAAACAAATATTAAAACATTTGAAAGTACTAAAATAGTTAAGCTATTTCATATTTCATTTATGTATTGTTTTCCTTTTTGTAAAGAAAAACAAACAAAAAATATGAACATTTTTCCAAACAAAGCAACAAGAATTTATTCAAAAAGCAATCTACTATATTTTTTAAAAACAAATGAAAATACTCTACACATTTTCGCATTGTAAAATCTATTTTCAAACAACTCTCTAATTACTTCTTTCCTTAAAAAAAAATAAAAACAAAACCGAAAATTTAGGGCGCATTATTGTATGAGTGTGTTCAAGATGCAAAGAGTAATAATAATATTATTTAACATGAGACAGCTACTTTAAAAATTATTTACAAAATAAAACTATTGTGAAAATCTTAAAAACAAGAACTAAATTAAAGCACACACAAATGCTCAAATTATTATTAAAAATAAAATAAGAACAAAAAAAGCCATAAATATTATAAATATATATATTCTTTAGCTGTTAAGAAAGTAAACATTATTATATCCCTCAACAATTAACTCTCTTTCCGCTCCCTTTGAAAGCAACAAAAAACAACAACACAAATATTTCTCTAAATGTGTTTATTTTTTTCTATTTTAAATGTTTGAATGTACTAAAAATAAAAACTTAAATGTTTTATTGTGCAATTGTTTACTGTGTACATACAAAAATTAAAAACAAAACACACACACACACATTTAAATTGAGACAAAACTAACGTGAATCAATCTTTGAATTAAAAAAAAAAACAAAAAAACATATTGATCTTCCCTAAAATACTTGATGTTTACAATGTAATTCCTTATTTTTGTTAAATGATAAAATTGCTGAATTTACAAAACTAAACAATTGTTGTTCTGTAAAAACACTTTAATTTCCTTGGACACAAAACACCAGAGAAGGACCCAACATGATGAAAATTATAACACTTGGAATAAAATATGATATGACAGCTAATGCAAAATGTTGGCCAGGGGATACGAAACATTTTTGACTTCTTAGTCAGTCAGTCAGAATCCAAAAATGTTTAAATGTTTTGCCAAGGGGATACAGCATTTGCTTGTGTTATTGGTGTTTCAGGACTCGATTTTTGGTATATCCCATAAACTTAAAGTTGGAGTATTTTATTTTTCTCCTTTTTATATCAAATATATATATATATATATATATATTTGATTTGTATTACTCTAAAGAATTCAAATATGCAATGTTGTGTCTGGAAAATTATCACAACAACATTCTGCAGATGTGTGCACTGCTTGTCTCACACAATTTATGTCATACGTCATATAAAATAACAACTCACACCACATCATTTGGGTCCTGATGAAGCTTCCTTAGAATTACAACAAACAAGTTCACGTTTTTAATACTCTTACGCTACAAATGATTGCTCAATTAAAAAACAAACAAAAATTCAAAATAGTTAAAGAATTTTCTGATTTCAAAAGAACATATTAAACGCAGGTAAACAAACGTCCTCCTTAACTTTCTTCACAACAAACTTAAAACTCTATTTTTTCATATTACAAAAGAAATTATTATACAAAGGGGAATAAATGTTTTTTTTTTTTTTTGTGTTGTAACACTTATTTTTCGAATTTATTTTTGATTAAGACAAAGCAAATGTCTTATAGTATTTTTTCTTTAAAGTTTAATAAGGAAAAATGTTATAGTTTTTACAAACAACAAAGCCAAAGTTTAATTTTAATAAGATATACTCAAATAAGCAAAGAATAGATTTGAGAAATTGTTTTATTATACAATTTAAATATATTATAATTTTCAATTATTATTTTTTCAATTATTTCCTCATTATTTGTATTTGTCTATTTTTTTTATAAATATACATACAGTAAACATTATATTTTCATAATTATAAAACTCAAAAAGTATATAAAAGTAGTTTTACGATTTTATGTAAACAATGTCAGTAAAAATAGTAAAATAAAACTTTAAAGAAAAGAAACAAACAAATCAAACCCATCAATTGCCAAATTAATTGTAGCTTTTATCAATTAAAAAAACACACACACAAAACAAAATGTTTATAAAATAAAAAAAGAAATGTGAGAAATATAACACAACATTAAAATATATATTATATAAATTTATAAAGCTTATACATAATATATAGACAACATAGTTTGTAACATTAATTTCATTTTATTTTTATTTTATTTTCTTCAAATATTGTTGTAATTTTAATTTTTAGTTGATTTTTTGTCGTTTTCATTCAAAAAAAAAATCTGTTTTAAGAGTTTTAAAATAAATTCAGTTTTATTAAAAAATTAAAGACGTTTTTTCTCTTACCAAAGATTTGCCACACTCAATAACAATTTGCAAATATTCTGTAAACTTGTGATTTTTTTGATATAGACCCTATCGGGAAAAAAAAACCTTTTAACCTGGTAGAGTCTAGTGTTTCTGGAACTAATCGTTGCTGCATCTCAGTGACCAAAGGGCCTCCTTAGACACGACAAATTACCTCGTGATTAATAACTGTTTGTTTGATTTTTACTTCACTTTAAATTCGAGCTTTTTGACACTTAAGGATTAAATATTTTTTTTAAAACAGCCAAGTAAAAATCCTCGCCCACAGTTTCTTAAAGATTGACAGGATAGCAAGTCAGAGCCCTACATCTTCTTGTACCATTAAAGTCATAGCAATCCGAAAAATTTGCTTTTATTGCCAGGAAGACACAGCATTTGTTGTGTTATTATGCTCGTTTTCGATTGCCTGGATGTTGTTGGACACCCCTACAAAAATGTATTTATCAAAAATTCTTCCTCACCAAACTGTGTATCTAGGTGGGAACCACATTTGAAACTGCTAGTAAAATATAAATCTACTTGCAATCAAATTACATCAGAAATTTCATTGATTTGTTTTCCTAATGGCGGAGATCTAAAAACGTATTATTTTATTAATTCTAATTTTATTGTGGCAAACCTTCTGAGCTTTTTAATGAGTTATGAGTTTTTGATGTATTTTGTATAAATTTTTTTATTTTTATTTATTTTTGTTATATTTTGGAAACAATTCTCAATAAAATACGTATCAATGTAGTTTTTAAAAAACCAAAAAAAAAAAAAAGAAATAACAAACAGTAACAAAACATGTATTATGTGCCAAAATGTGTGTAAAATTTAATTTTAGTCTCTGAGAAACTAATAAACCCCTCCAAAAAAAAAAAAAAAAAAACACAGAACAAACACATTGAGCCTCAATAGCTCATTTGAATCAAATAATTAAATAACGAAACATTAACAATCTATTTTAGCACCTAAATTTAAAAATAATGAACAAACTACAACAAATATTCTAATTTCAAGGAATATTTTGGAATTAAGACACAAATAAACCCTTTATTATTTTTACTTTCGATTTAAAAGGTTACAAACAAATTGCAAAACTTTGAACAATCACAGTCCCGTTTGATTTTGTTTTCCAATTGAGATTACCTTTACCAAACGAACAAAATCAAAAGATTTTAACCAAACTCAATGTGTTTGGAGATAGCCTGTTCTATGGTGGCAGGATGTAAGAATTTTTGTTGTTGGTGATCTTACTACCAGTGCACATCAAAGGCCGTCCTCCAACCACCGACGGGTCATATGGTTAAGAACAAAAACAATGTCATCATATTTAGAGATTTATTGATTATATTGACAGCAAGTAACGATTTTTTCTTTCCATTTTGTAAGGTTGTGAACTGTGAAAAATTTCATAAAAATAAACCAACAAATTATAGAACACAAATGAAAATACAAAAAAAAAAAACATATAACATCACAGCTAAACAAAAAGAAATCAAGAAACAATAAAAATAATAAAAAAAGAAATATTAATTTGCATTTTTATTTCTCAAAGCATTATAATAAAAAATCGGTTCGTTTATTTTCAATTTATTACTTTATTTATATCTGTTAGTATTAGAAGTAACACTATGAACAGGAAATCTGGGAGGTGGAAAATTCCTTTTGGATATGAAAGGTCTTGACGAAGGATAAATTCTCCCTAGATCGAACTTCCAAGCAATGTCGTAACGAATTTTATGCTTGTGACACAGAAGATCTTCGTGAAAACGGCCTATCAGGCATGCCACAGAACCGAATTCCGATCGAATGGAATTAATGCCGGAATTACCTTCTTCAGAAAATTAAAAACAACATTTTTTCAGAATGAAGCCACTTTTGATTTGGCAAATGTGTTTTATGGACACTTTTGACTTTAAATACTTTTTGAACTCTTATAAATTATGAAAATGTCATTTATATAAAAAATACACATTTAAATGTACATTTTCTATATTTTTATTTAAAATATTTTTAATAAATATTTTAATAAGTTTTCTTTTAAAGGGACGAGCACAGGATAAATTCATAAAATTTATAAGTTAAAACTAACTTTTTTTTATTAAAATGCTTACACTGAACTGGGTTAGGACTAGGGGTCCGAAACATCTCTTAAATTCCTCCGGCGTCTTTTTTTTCTATTGTGTTCAATACTTTGCGCCTCTTTTACGGAAACAATCGAAATTTACACTATAACCACTCTTTTCGCACAAAAAAAATAAAATTTTTTAAACAGCATATTTTTCACAAGTTTCACTTCTACAGTGTATTTCAGAATAGGTTTAGATTTGTTCGAATTGGTTACCTTTGGCACAAATTATGGCCAATGAAACCGTCACACGCTGCCCGAATGTTGCTCTGCGGCATTTTATCCCATTCCCGGCGAAGCGCCAACTTTGCTTTCCAAAATACTCCAGACACAATAGTCCAACGGATTGGTATCCGGAGATTTTGGTGGCCATTGTGCGGTGGAAATGAAGTGAGGAACTTCATTTTGTAACTATTCTTGGTGCTGAGTCCTATTGGAATGTCTAAGGTCTGCGGCCAAAATGTTTGCGTGCCTAAGGCTTAAATACACCCTCCAGAATATTTTTGCGATAATATTCGGCATTTATTCTGATACCACGGTCGATTAATACGAGCGGAGAGCGATCATCGGCTGTTATGGCGGCCCACATCATCACCATGGCCGGCGCTTGAGTTCTGGTGGCCAACCGAAGGTGCACATTTTCAGGTGACCTCTTTGGCAAGTAAACACGATCATTTTGTTCGTTTACAAAATGCTGGACAACGAATGTTTTCTCATCGGAGAAAACCAAATTCGGCCTTTCACCACTTTCGGCCAAGCGAAGAAACTCTTCAGCTCTTTTGAGTCTATTTTCTTTCTGTTGCGGTGTGTGTTCTTGCACTTTTTGTAATTTTAATGGCTTCATCCCGAGTTCATTGTTCAATATTTGCCGAACGGAATATTGCGATATGTTCAGCTCAGGAGCCATTTTTCTGCCACTGCGACGCGGGTTTCGATCAAGTCGCTTCTTTACTTTTCGAACCATTTCTGCTGATGTTGCGGTTTTCTTCCCTCCACTTTCTTGACGTCGGGCTACGCTACCAGTATCACGGTAACGAGCGATGATACGAGACACAAGAGACCTTTTCACATTTAAATGCTGGAGTGCTGTAACGATGGCCACATGTAGTTTTCCAGCCAAATATAAAGAAATCACACTATCACGCTTGAATTCCATCACGAATAATTTTTTTTCTGAAAAATTCTCACCAAAATGCTTTTGTACGCTTGTAAACAATATAATGAGCTGTCACTGGAATAATTTGCAGTTGGAAAGTCTTCTAAATCTTACAACCGCACTTATAAAGCATAACAAGTGGAGAAAAATGTAAATGTTTATAAGTGCGGTGGTAAGATTTAGAAGACTTTCCAGAAGAATTTTAGTTTTATTTAATTCTTTGGTTCCTCTTCTATTGAGCTTACGATCTCGTCACTTGGGTAAAAAACGTTTTTTGTCATAGAAGTTATTTTTAAAACAAGTAAGCAAAGGTTACAGTCGAGCGGGACCGACCGTTGAATACCCTACAACACTATAATAAACGATACAGTTTATATAGGCGAGATACTCGAAAGAATTCCACAAGATATTGTGACAAATAATAAAAGAAAACCATCAGGTTTCGTTCTCTAATTTTCGAATAATAGCAACTTAAACTAATTTGCTCATTTCCAATTTATTGGTAGATGTTGCACTTAAATGGTCTTCCTAGATCTGGAACCAATATTTCCCAAAGACCTATAATCTCTCAGAAGTGGCAAAAGATTAACATTGGCAAACTCCTTCACACATTGAATATTTTTGAATGGTCATCCAAAACTGCTTGGCTTTTTGCAATGCCCGTAACCCCATTCAAATGCGCGTGAGGATCGGGCAATAATTACGACCTGCTGACAATTTTGCAGTTATTTTGGTCCATTTCAACCCCTAAATATATGGCGATCATCTTCAAAAAGAGTAGGCTTCTATTCTGACCCTCATCTGATCCCCATGCAAAATTTAGTTAGGATCGGGCCATAAATGCGATCTGTATATGATATCCTGATATCCTAACTACTTAGTTTTGTTAGCTGTAGAAATATTACCAAATGTTTAATTCAAAATGAAAATATGCCAAAAATATGACAAAATTGAAAAAATATGACAAAATGTTACAAAATCAATATTTTCATCTTTAGAGAGATATTTTTATGCGATTTTTTAGACGTTTTTTTCTTTCCTGCCAAGAGGCTATTCTGAATTAATGAGAACTGTCGAAATCAGTTCAGCCGTTCTCGACATATAAGAGCTCTTTCAAGCATATCTTCTTGGATAGACACATATATCGCACATATTTTGCTATATATCCGATTTATTGTATGTTAACATCAATGTAAAGATCAGGATTAACCTTGTCATGGCTTTGTGATTTCGCCGGGATTTAAAATATTTGCGGTTTAATGGAAAATTTTGATTTTTTTCAACAAAAAAGATGTGGTCTATTTTACCCGCTAAATATTATCCGATAACCACCCAAATTGGTAGGCTTCTTCCCCGCCTTAAACTCTATCTACATGCGAAATGACCTGTAGAGCAACTGCAAAATCAGCAAATTTTTCAGTTTTTGTTCCATTTCAACCCCTAAATATTATGCAATCCTCTCCAAAAGAAATAGGGTTCTATTCTGACCCTAGCCCCACCTGCATTCTAAATTTCGTGACGATCGGGCCATAATTGCGACCTGTAGAGTGATTAGAAATTAACATGGACAGACGGACAGACGGACAGACGGACGGACGGACGGACATACATAGCTAGATCGACTCAGCTCCGCGAGATAGGAAGATCCATATATACTTTCATATGTGGGAAATCAATATTTCGTTGTGTTACATAATTTTTGGCCCAATCAAACTTATAATACCCCCAACACATAGTGTTGTAGGGTATAATAACTTCTGGGGAGAATATCCCAGACAAAAAACAAGGGAACCTGATGAGGATTGGTGGCTCTTTCCGAAACCTAGGTATTCCCTGCCTTACCCCCTGGTAAACATTACCATCGTTCTCCACTAATAATCAAACGTTGTTTTTATAAAAACAACAATAAAGGGATAAAGCCTGACCATTTTGCAACAACAGAATCTACTAGTTTTAATTTTTTTCCTATTTCATAAAGTAATAAAAATTAGTTATCGTAGTAAAATGTTGTACATTCTTGCAGTTCTGGAACAGACTTTAAGTGACTTCAATATTTTCACTCATGCCCCTTCAACGAAAACGACCTCTTCCGATCCGAAATTTTTGAAGATAAACTGTGAGAGCATTCCATTTGTCTATATCATTTCTAACAAATAAGAGCATATATTCAAACAATGAATTATGCGTTTTAAAAAGCAAAATAAAAAGTACAATTGTGAATACAAAGCAAAATACGACAATTATTTTTCCTGTTCCTTTCAATGCATATTACATTCGCTTTGGTCCAAATTTTCATAAAATTCTGGCAACAAAAGTTAAGAAGAAATGAACCATGTTTTTATGAATGATCAAGATTGGCTTGTGAACGGGTTGACCGTGTACCATGGTAGAAGAATATAGGTAGATGCAACAACGCTTGGGAACATTCATATGTCAAAAATTTTAAAGTGTTTTGTCAAAAATAAGTATATCTTTATATGTTTTCTTACACGAAGTAAATCGGAGGATGTATGTATTTTTCAACAATTTTAACAAATTTCAATAATTTTTCATTCAAGATTTTCAATTTCAAAATCAGTTTAACAGTTGATTGTCCCAGCAGTTATGTCGATGCGAATACCGGTATGTGCCATGCTGTGTATTTAATATCCAGATCGAACAATGTTGTTCTAAATCCCCTGGGAACATTCTATAAAATTCATATATGTAGTTCAAGTATTCAATCTTCATATGTGAACCCTACCAAATAGATATTTGGTCGTATTTTAAATGTTGTCAGCACTGTTTTTTACGACGCCGATTACAAACCGTGCATTACGGCGCAGCATATTTGTTTACGTTTTGATTATTAAATGTAAATAATAAAGTACGATAGAATAAAACAATGACCAAAACAAGCCACAAAAAGAATCGACCATTTGATTTTAAATTGATTTCATTGGTTGAGCCTCACCCCGTGATATACATGAGACAGATACCTGGGATGTCCTCCTTTGAGATAATGAAGACGAAAAACAAAGTCTGGCAAGAAATTGCCAATGAAATGGGTTGTCAAGGTAAATGTACCACAAGTTTCCTTGTTCTCTACAAAACCATAACAATTATGTTCTTAGTTCAATTTTGTTTAAGTCGATGGAACAATTTAAGAGGACAATTTCAAAAAGAGCTTAAACATTGTAATGAGCTTTGCCCCAAAAGTGGTGTGATTCGTGGTTCTACCTGGCCATACTTGGATAGAATGCGGTTTCTGGAATGCACCGTACAAGCCTACAAACCAAAGAAGGAAAGAGAAAGAAAACGCAAACCAAAGGAAATTCCCGACCTGTTGCAAGAAACCAACAATTTCTGGGAATCCGATGACTCCAATTCGAAAATGACTGATGACAATGAAGACAATGAAGAAAACGATATGGGAAGCGACTTCCATATCGAACTGCAAACAACTGAACACGAGGAAACCCATCAATTGGAAGAACAATTTTCTGATTCTTTTTCGATAATTGAAGAAATTGCCGAGGAGATTGTGGGCACAGAGGATACCATTGTCGAAGATACTACAGATACTATTAGACGAATTGAAGCGCTTTACATGGGATTTGATGGTGAACCAAGAGAACGCATTGAAAGAAGGATTTTAGCATTTCTATGTAAATGCCAATTACGAGCTTTAAACAATCAAGGCATAGAAGATTTATATATTTAGGAAGCATTAGTATTTATAACGTATTGAATTAATTTCTAAAAATCACCTCATCATCATATACCTCGAGCCGTAAAACAAAAATACGCATGGTATCAGAATAACAACAACAGCAAGAGTTGTTTTACAACAATTTAAAACATCAAAAATATGAAAATTTATTGGTAGAAAGTAAAAAAACGTCGCCTAAGAAATCAAATCTTAATGTAAATAAAGAAAAACTAAGCATTAAAAAGCGCACTTCCAATAAATATCATTATCGTACTAGGCTTGCTTCCAATGACTACAACAATGTAAAATATATTCCCTTAATTAAGAAATACATTGTATTTAGATAATTCATTTTTTCACCGATTTCAATTTTACTACATTTCATTGGCGATTCATATTTACTAGAAATAGTTCATAATACAAGTTGTCAATGTCATACATTGTTCCATACATTGGAACAAAAAAGAAATGCATGGACAAATCAATGAGGTAACGTCACGCAATCGTATTTTTAAATTTTTTTAATTATACTATTGACATCTCATTGTTAAAATACGCATACAAAACTTGTATATGTTCAAATCAGAGATGGAAACCTGTCAAGGGGGGTTACCTTGATTAGATTGTACCATTATTACTTACAGTAACAAATATCTATGTGGCTGTTGTTGAATTGTAATAGTTGTAATTTAGGTTAAACTTTTTCACAATTCTACTCATGGAAGAATAATAAGATGTTGTTAAAGATACAGTTTTAAAAAAATATGTTGACATATGATTGTTTGACGTTACCTTCTTAATATTACCATAAAAGTACGACTATATTGAACGAATTGTCGCCTTTTATTTACCGCGAAAAAAAATGTTTTTTATGTTTTTTCATCCAGATGGCATTTAAGAGAAATTCTATGTATAACAAAATGTATATCTCTAATGTACAACAAAAAATGAAAGTAATGGTCTGTTTCTCTAAGCCAATCGAGAAGCTTCATTCGTTTCCTGTTCTGCAAGTGTCTGTTTCTGTTTTCTACCCAAAATGGTGACTAAAATCGTCAACTCAAAAATAAAACATAAGCCCTTTTCATATAAATAGGTATCAGTAAATGCGTTCATTCGAAATCGAATATTTAATTCAATCACATATATAAACATGCTTGTAGTTTGTTTTATAGTTTTCAAATTTACTTTTTAATAACTCGTATTTTACTTTAATTTTTAAAATTAGCGAATAGTACAATTCAGAAAACAACTTAAATGTGAATTTTATTTAAATCCTGCCAGGGTATTTTTGGTTTAATTAGGAAATCTTGGCGGGACAGATTATCTAGCATAACCACTTGACGCCTCACATATTTAACCAGTCGTTCAATTTTTTCATAATCATCACAATTTAAAGCGAAAAAACGTCTCCATAATGCAGCTGCCAATACTCGATCTTCAGACATAATACCTTCGTCATAGGCTATCAAAGCTGCCTGAAATTGTTCGGAGAGTTCTTCAATTTGTTGGCGAGTTCGTGAGGGATTATTGGCCTACAAATATTTTTAAAAGTAACAAAATATTACATGTTTCACAGGTACAATATATAAGGTAATTATGTACTCACTCCCAATTTTTTAGCCCTGGTATTAACATCTGACCATAAAGCTTCAACAATGCAATTTCGTAAAAATCGACCATCTTCACCAGACTCCGATCCTTCGGCCATTGATCGCAATAACAGCATCCATACATGTAATTCAGTTACCAAAAACCATGAATTAAATGTATTAGGCATATTGAAGTCATTGAAGAAGGCTAAATAATTAATTTTATCCGCAACACTCTCATACAGCATATGACTGGCTACACGTATCCTCTGTAAAGATAATTAATAGTTATCGCCATTTTCGCAGCATTAGTTTTCTGTGTTCCGAACACATCGGTTTGAAAATGATATCATTTGTAGTTACAATACCGGGGTGTTATTTCTCATATTGGGTAAAATGTTACTTTGATCAACCTTTTCATTAAAAAAAATACTACAAATTCACTTTGATCCAAAAATTCTTCTCCAGATATATAAGGATTTTTTACTGGCATTAGTCACCTACCTGGATCAAATCTAGCTCATCATTTGAGCTAGGAGCCAGGCAATGACATATGCCAGAAAAACTCCCTTAATGTATTAAGGTCATAAATACTTTCGAGAAACACTTTAGAACGAAACGCTTGAGAATCAATAGAAATGTTAAATCACAACATATATACATTTCTTACTTACAGCTTTTGAATTTGGAGTAAACCCAACTTTTTTCAAAACTCTCTTTATGATTCCATTGCCTTGGTCAGTTGTTGGCGTTGTAGTTGTAGTGCTAGCAGAACAATATTTGCATGTATTTAAGAAAAAAGGTTTAAAGCTAGAGTTGGTGTTATCTGCTGGCTGGACTAATTGTTGTATTTGTGCGTTCGATGCAGTTGAAATCTGAAAAGATGATTATTTTTATAACGCAGTACCGATGTTTATGTAAGAACTTGATAGAACGCATTGGGACCAAAGCTCATCTTGGAAACTACATTAATTTCTTTATTTACCATTGGAATCAAAACATTCCTGCTATTCGAAAGCCTTTGTAACAATTTAGTTGTCAACATAATTAAATATAATTTATTTTTTCTAAAATTTAATATTGTAAACAAATCCAACCACACTACTGGAACCCAACAAACACAAAAACACGAACAGCTTGTTCAAATTGTTAGAAATTTGACAGTTCGCTTACACAGAATGGCAACACCGTTCTTAAACAGCAGACTTCTATCAAAATAGCGGCACAAAAATCTTGTTTGTGCCTAACATTAGAGATCAAGTGTGGTGTTTTTTATAGCAATTATTTTTATAAAGTATAACAGAATAGAAGATGCCCGTTTTAATAAAAACGTAAGTAATGGTTTTGCAATATTTAATTGAATACATGTTCGTAGTCAACTACATATTAAAACACTGAATTGTAAAAAAGTGGTACAGGACAAATCTTCAAATGTAATGGCGCACTGATAAGGTAGCCGCATAAGAAAAGCTGATGGTTTTACTCATGGTAGAAGAATACAGGTAGATGCATCAACGATTGAGAACATTGTTATGCCAAAAAATTTAATACGTTTTTTTTTTCCAAAAGAAGAATATTTAATATATTTGTTATATTTCACTCAAAATTTTTAATTGTTCCAGCAGGTGTGCCGATGCGACTATCTGTATTCTTCTACCATGGTTATACCATTGTGCATAAAAAAATACTCCATTTACTACAGCTGATCATAAGACTAGCTACCGAAATACTTATTGTGATTGAAATAACAGTGTATGAGTGTATAACAATTTTTTTGTTATTGAAAAGAAAATACATACATAAACAAATAAAGATGACATACTAAGCCAAGAAAATAAAAAAAATTAAAATCATATGGTATCATAGCCCTACCTTGATATCATTGTACCATGGGTAGAGCTACAGTGATTGCTATTTTTTCTGAGTGAGCCTGACTTCTGACAAGTCTGCGGGAGTATTTATAGTTTGAAAAATAAAGAGACATATTTTCAAAATCAAAGATGATTTTCATTTTTGATATGAAATGGAAATTGACCTACAACTATTGCATCGAAACGTGTTCGAGAAGTGGGAGTTTTTTTTTTGTGCTCTCGAGTCACTTCTGCTTAAAAAATTAGGAGCAGAATCGCTCCAAAAAAGCGAAAATTAGTGGAAACAATTAAATTGTCCGCTGATTTGTTGTGCGTATGTGCAACAATAAATCAACCTGTTTTTGATGTTGCTGTATAAAAAATTTGGGAAAGGGAAAAGTGGCGGTGAGAGGGGAGGCTGTATATATATATATATATATATATATATATATATATAAACTTAAAAAAATAATGTAGATAAAATCATAAAAATAGCAAATATCGGGAGATACCGTTATATGTGGGCTATAGATGTGGACCTGCACAGGAAATTTTCTGTCTTAGGCTGTAGTATCCATTACGAACTTCAAATGCAAAATTTGAAACAATTCCGGCGAAAAATGTCGCTAAAATCATTAAAATACCGAATATCGGGAGGTACCGTTATATGGTGGCTATGCGAAGATGTGGACCTGCGCAGACAATTTTCTGTCTGTAGTATCCATTACGAACTTCAAATACCAATTTGAAGCAATTCCGGTGAAAAATGTCGCTAAAATCGTTAAAATACCGAATATCAGGAGGTACCGTTATATGGGGGCTATACCAAAACGTGGTCCTACATAGCCCATTTCCAATACCAAAAGTTCTGCAGACGTAACATGCATTTGAGTAAAATTTTATCAATCTACTTCAATTCGTTCGGAAGCTAGAGTGATTTCCACAGACGGACGGACATCGATAAATCGATATAGAATTTTATGCTGATCAAGAATATATATACTTTGTGTGGTCTAAAATGTGTATTTCGAGGTGTTACAAACGGAATGACAAACTTAATATGCCCTTCATACTATGGTGGAGGGTATAAAAATAGTAGAAAAATTCCTCTCAAACTACAACAATATTTGAAATAATTCCGGTAAAAATGTAACTAAAATCATCAAAATACCGAATATTGGGAGGTACCGTTGTATGGGGCTATAGGAAGACGTGGCTTGCACAGAACTTCAACTACGAAATTTGAAGCTAAAATCATAAAAATACTGAGTATCGTGAGGTATCATATCAATTACATAAAACTAAAATTAATAAAATAAATTAAAAAATCCCAGACAAAAAACAAGGGAACTGATAAGGATTGGTGGCTCTTTCCGAAACCTTGGTATTCCCTACCTTACCCCCTGATAGGCATTACCATCGTTCTCTACTAATAAACAAACGTTGTTTTTATAAAAAACATAATAATGGGATTAAGCCTGACCATTTTGGAACAACAAAAGGTAATCATTATAACAAAAGGTAATAATTTATTTATTTTTCCTCATTTTTTAAAAATGAATTAAATAGCGCGAAGCATTAAAGAAATGCCTCGATTTCCTTTTTAAAAATATAATCCAAACAGTTCAATTTTCTACTTTCATTGCTAAACTGTTTAATACCTTTAATGCGCGCACTTCAATATATGTTTCTTCCAATCATTGGTTATGAAAATATTTAGTTTTTTTCTTGTTGGCAGAAGTCGATCGCACTAAGAATAAAAATTGTGATCAGCTAGTAGCTCTGCCTTTATCTTTTATTGCAACATGTTTTTCTCATTTTCATTTCATTTTTCCTAAATTTTGAAATGATTTAAAAAGGCGAGAGATGAATGGTAAGCCGCGAATTTTTTTCAAAGACATCCAAACTGTTTCAATTCTAAGGCAAAACGGGTTAATATTGTCCGTGCGCGTCCAGATATTTACGCTTGTTGTAGTCATTGATTTGAATTGTTTTGTTTTTACTTATATTAAAGCAATAATACATACACTAAATTGGAAAAGTCGAGCAAACTCAGAAAAAAATTGTAACCAGATGGTAGCCTGCCTTACCTTTTTATAGTACCATATAATATAAAAATTCTAATATAGTTGTGAAATTGTATATTGTGTTTCGGTAACATTCATGTACAAACATGTGTTTAGCTTTTGTGGTGAAAAACGAGTACTTCGAATTTTAAGTAATGCTGTTACTTTGGTTTTGAAACACACAAAACCACCTAGAAGACACGCTATTGCACTGTATAACACCACCTTATTTGTATGCAGTGGGTGACCATTTTAATACACAACTTGAGTAGCAGATGTTTAATGTGAACCCACTCTTTCTTGTTTTCGTCATATGGTGATATTAAATTCATAAACGTGGCAACTCTTTTATTCCGCTGTGTTTCAGTAGTGATTTTGGTCCACAGTTAAAATTCCAACTTTATGGATAGAATGGGTCCTCCAAAAAAATCTAAAAAAGAAAAATTTAGTTCCGAAAAATTCGGTAAGTTACTAGATTTTAAAATTTACGTAAAAACGAATAACATATTTCTTCTTTAAGGAAAAAAGCGTAGGGCAGAAGATGATGCCTATACCCAATTGGTAGAGGATAATGATTCCATGGATTTTAGCGAAAGTGATGGTGTTCCAGGAGCGGCTTCAAAAAATGCCGAAACCAATGATGATGGTATAATGACCGATGAATATGGAGCCAAGGATTATCGCGCCCAAATGGAATTGAAAATTGATCACTCAAATCGCCCTTTGTGGGTAGCTCCGAATGGACATATATTTTTGGAATCATTTTCACCGGTGTACAAGCATGCACATGATTTTCTTATTGCCATATCGGAACCTGTGTGTCGTCCAGAACATATTCATGAATACAAACTCACTGCTTACAGTTTGTATGCGGCTGTCTCCGTTGGGTTACAAACCCATGATATTGTTGAGTATTTAAAGAGACTGAGTAAAACTACTATACCTGAGGGAATAGTGGAATTCATAAAGCTGTGTACATTGTCATATGGTAAAGTTAAGTTGGTCTTGAAGCACAACCGTTACTTTATAGAATCTCCCCATCCGGATATATTACAAAAATTGCTTAAAGATCCAGTCATCCAACAATGCCGTCTTAAACGAGAAGAGGGGGAGGCATTTATACAAGGTACATTAGAAAAACAGGCAATTACGCAGTTCGGTACAAAAATTCCTGAAAATGCCGCTAAAACCGACCCAAAAACAGTGCAGAGTGCTCCCTCAACAATAAATGCAGACGGTACTACTGCTGTGCCGGATGACATTACAAATTTCTACGACAAAATTGACAATGAAGAAGAAGATGAAGACGAAGCGAATTTAAATACAGTTTCGTTTGAGGTGAGCCAGGAAAAAATTGAAGTAATTCAAAAGCGATGCATTGAAATAGAACACCCCTTATTGGCAGAGTATGATTTTCGTAACGATACTCATAATCCAGACATAAATATTGATTTAAAGCCTGCTGCCGTTCTTAGGCCTTATCAAGAGAAAAGTCTGCGAAAAATGTTTGGCAACGGACGTGCGAGGTCAGGTGTCATTGTACTTCCTTGTGGTGCAGGCAAGTTTTTAATTGTCCTACATTTTGAAATCATATTCATGAATTCCTTTTATACAGGTAAATCATTGGTTGGTGTGACTGCATGCTGCACAGTCAGAAAACGTGCTTTGGTTTTGTGTAACAGCGGTGTGTCTGTGGAGCAGTGGAAACAACAGTTTAAGATGTGGTCAACAGCGGATGACAGTATGATTTGTCGGTTTACTTCAGAAGCCAAAGATAAACCAATGGGTTGTGGCATTCTGGTCACGACTTATTCTATGATAACTCACACCCAGAAACGATCATGGGAAGCGGAACAAACAATGCGTTGGCTACAAGAACAAGAATGGGGCATTATGGTTTTGGATGAAGTACATACTATACCTGCAAAAATGTTTCGAAGAGTGTTAACAATTGTTCAATCTCATTGCAAACTGGGTCTTACTGCCACACTTTTGCGTGAAGACGACAAGATTGCTGATCTGAATTTTCTGATTGGTCCTAAGTTGTATGAAGCAAATTGGTTGGAATTACAAAAGAAAGGTTATATTGCCCGCGTACAATGTGCAGAAGTTTGGTGTCCCATGTCTCCCGAGTTCTACCGAGAATATCTAACAGCCAAAACTTCCAAAAAAATGCTATTGTATGTTATGAATCCCTCTAAATTTCGTAGCTGTCAGTTCCTGATAAAATACCACGAGCTTCGAGGAGATAAAACAATTGTTTTCTCGGATAATGTATTTGCGCTAAAACACTACGCCATCAAAATGAACAAACCTTTTATTTACGGTCCGACGTCCCAAAACGAACGTATACAAATTTTGCAAAACTTCAAGTTCAACCAAAAGGTCAACACAATTTTTGTGTCCAAAGTTGCTGATACTAGTTTTGATTTGCCAGAAGCAAATGTATTGATACAAATTTCATCTCACGGCGGTTCGCGTCGTCAAGAAGCACAGCGTCTGGGTCGTATTCTGCGTGCTAAGAAAGTAGCTATTGCGGAAGAGTATAACGCATTCTTCTACACCTTAGTGTCACAAGACACAATGGAAATGAGTTATTCCCGCAAACGTCAGCGTTTCTTAGTTAATCAAGGTTACAGCTATAAAGTAATTACACATCTCAGTGGAATGGATTCTGATCCTGACTTGTTTTATAAAAATCGGGAAGAACAGGCCCAGTTGCTACAGCAGGTATTATCAGCTTCAGATTTAGACTGTGAAGATGAGAAAATCCCCGGAGAACCGGGATACAGGCCGAATAGTTCTTCAAGTACAAAACGGGCAGGTGGTCTCAGTTCAATGTCAGGTGGTGATGATGCAGTTTACTATGAACATCGCAAGAAAAACTCAGGAAATATTCACCCATTGTTCAAGAAGTTTCGTGGTGTTTAAATCCGGCCGAGTACGCGTTCCAAAAACACTGTTAATGCATGCAATGCTTAATTATTTCTATACTTTCATATTTTCAAATAAACACATTAAATAATATTAAACTTATTTCAAATCGATTGTTTCATTTTTAAAACATACCGATGTAAACAAGTGTTAAACAACGAAACAAATATATATTTTCCAAAATTTAGTTCCTTCAACTCCCTGTTTTTACATTTTTTTATATTTAGAAAAACATCTAGCGGGCTAAAAGAATGGGCAATTTTGGAATTGCAGGGTGACTTAGAAGTAAGGACCAATGAGGAAATGCATGATCAATTTGTGGGTGACCTTTATTACAACAAGTATGGACAACCGGTATGTAAAAAAATATAGTTTTGAAATATTTCTTTAATCGTTATATTTGGACAGATTCTCATTATAGGACATCATATATTGCAGGGAAGAGAACAAAAACTGGAGAAGCCGTTCGCCGTCCTGGAGAAATCAAAAACCAACGAGGGTCAACATATTATAGATCAAACAATAAACTATCTAAACACAAGTGTCTTGAATAGTACTGTTGATCGAACATTATTGGACAATACAGTTGCTCTCGAGAATAAAACCAAGCAACGAACAGAATACACAGTACAGGCTATTGTCACCAAAAAGTTAACATTCAAATCCAGGCCAAAACCCATTATAGCAAATGTAGCAAAGAGTGTTTAGATGTACGATTAATCCATATTTATTTTTATGAAATTATTTTCAGAAATGTTTAATAAAATATAAAACAAATTTCCAATCAAATATTTAAACAATTTCCATTTCACGTTCAATACCTACGAATTTTAATTGTTCGGTAGGTCCATATCTATAATCAAAGAACAGCTCCTCTCCAGGCTGTATGGCTCGTTTAGCAAAAATGCCTATTCGATGATCGCCGGTCACCATCATTACCTTGGCATAGCAATTAGGATTGATGGAATGGTTCGCAAAACGTATTTTATTGCCTTTGCGCGTAGCATCAACGACAAAATCATTGTTTAAATTAAACAAGAATGAACACATATATTTGTCATAAACTTTTCCTCGTCGATCGGCCTCATCCTGTGATATTATTTCACCGCAATATTCCGAAATAAATTCATTCTTCTGGGCTCCTTCCTTTAGGAAAATACCCCAACCGGCGACGTCTGAGGGTGCCATGAGTAAATGTTTATCTATAAAAACATAAACGTATAAATTCTATTATAAAAATACTAAGATTCAATGTATTTACGTAGGCCCCTCTGAACGCAAACATTTTTGCAAGTAATTTTTGTAAGCTTAAATTGATCTGCACCACATGCCTGACAAAGATCCGGGTCACATTCACGTACAGCCAAATAACATGGACATTGTTTGGTATTACATTGTGCTTTACAGCGACAACCTGGAAAACGATTTTGGCAATCGCTACTGCAATTACAGAATTTTTCGCAAAAGTTTTGAGTCTGTATGCATGAACAATTCATGTCACAAGGACCGGGATGGTCACAAGGTGTATAATTATAGACATGATTTGAAGAGGAATCCTTTTTCAGTTGTATTTTACGACAGTGCAATGACCACAACCTTTGCTTCTTCTTCTTCTTACGAGGTGGAGTATAATCTTGTCGAAGTTCTTCGATGCTAAATTCAGAGGCCTCTTTTTGTGCGAATTCATACACCTTTTAAGCAATTGTATTAGAAGAAATGATAGGTTACAAACAACTTAATAACAAACCTGTTCACATGTCTTGGTCAACATTATCTGGGCAATAGCACAATAATTTTTTAGAAATACTTTGTGTAAAGTCCGAAATAGCGATTGATCCGCTCCAGTCCAGTCACATTTGACATTCGAGGTATTCATCATTCCCGCTAAAAGAGATAATGGCCAGTAAAGTTAGTTAAATACTGCATTGTTCAAATGGAACCTTCAATACCACACCGGTAATTGAATAGCCTACCCATTATAGAATTTATTTCTGCAGAAGCTGCACTTGTTACAGTTCCATTTTCTTTAGTTTGGTCATTGTTAAACTCCTTATTACTGAACTGGCTGTTGCTATCATTACTATCTTCCGAACTTGCTTCGTTGCAAGAATCAATTGGCGGTGTTTTGTTGTCAGCTGCGAGTTTCTCCTTCATTCCTTCCTATAAATGAAATGGAACACAGCTTAATCATAACAAACTATTCTGTGGAAATGTTTGTTTTTAACACTACATACCAGGAGCATATAACAATTGTTGCTACATGGTTCAGTAAATGGTTTCATTTCAGGAAAACGTCGTTTTTGCAAATTTGGTCCAGAATGTCCTACTTGAAAACCTAAGATGAAATTACATTTTGTTGTAATTAATAATATGTTTTCAAGATTTATATATAATAACAGGGTGACTTGTTGAATATGCTATTGATTTTGTTACTGTTGATTGTCCGATTACTGATTGGTAATGATAAGGAATCGCCCTGCATATCAATGTTCGAGATATAGTTAATGAGTGTTAAGATGTATGGATTTTATAAAACCAAAACAAACTGTAACACATACACATGACTCCAATAACGATTAAAAACTGCATAAGAATCTTTTAGAAAGTAGTATTTTAATTTGGAAAACAATTTTAATTATGCATGTAATAGCGACTAAAATTAAAAATGCTGCTATGAATATTTAATTTTCGACTAAGACTTAGTTGAGGATGATGCTTCTCACTTTCACATTTTTCTGTTGTTAATGTTTTTTTAGCGTAAAATGATATACATTGAATGAAATTTAATGGAAGTATGATTGATCAATGAAGTGTAGCAAAGAAATATACAATTAAAAAACATACAACAACAGCTACAACTCACCGTGAGTTGGATGACCTGAATTTGAAGTAAATATTTTATTTTTTACATTAACAATTGTTAAACTCAGTTTTCAACAGCATTTTATGTATTTATATTAAAAAAAACGAAAATCAAAATATAAAAAGGATAAAAATAGAAAGTATTTCATTGAATGCATATCTCATATACAATTTCTGTAATTAAATTATACTTACGATGTAAAAAACAATCATATTTGAAGCAACGCCTACAGAACAATGTATGGAAAGAATGAAGTGTTCTTTCACGTGAAACACTTTCTGCCTTTTCACCATCAATATTTGGTGTACATTCCTGCGGCCGCTCTGGATCTTGGTGTTCTGTCAACTCAATGTATCTATGAAGCGCAGAATAGATTTTTAATTAAAAAAACGCATATATTGTACAAAATAATCGTTGGAAATGCTAAAATGCCATTTTGGAAAGACGAGAGTATAGACTATGTTTATCAAACCGATATATAAAATATGGGTATCATATGAAAGCTTATGGAATTAACTATTCAACAAATGTTTATATATCCCTTTCTTTAGCGCAGCATTTCGTGATAACTCACCAGATTCGTCACGAATGATTTAAATTCGTCATAGCAACCAGATTTCTCTTTCATATTATTTAAAATATAATAAATCTTTAGAATTAAATTCTTTTCTTTTAACTTACTTTTCTTTGAGTTCCTGCGACGTTCCTTTGTCGGGAAAATTTGAGCTAATGGCTTGAAATATTATCGGAGGAGGGAAAGGAAGTTTCTCTGTAAGATTATCTGTAGTCGTCTTTTCTGTACTTTCGCCAGATGCAATGTCTTTTTCATCATTGCTATTCTTCTCGGCTATGATTTTTTCACCTTCTTCAAGAATTTTTGCATCTTTGACATCATTTTCAGAATCTATTTGCTTTTCATTTTTTTCTTTTTCGCTAGTACTTGCATCCTTATCCTCGTTTTTCTGCATATCCTTTATCTCATCATTTTTTATTACTTCAATTTTTAAGGGAGCGCCAGTAATTTCTTCAATTTCTTTTGGATATGTTCTCATTAACGCGTGCACTAGCTCCACAAATATTGAATCGTCCATAAATGAGGGATCTTTATCGCCATGTACCTTGCCATCATAATTCTTTATCAATTCCTCAATAAATTTACCATCCTTATCGAGTACTTCATCACCCATATAGGGAATATTGTGGAGGACGGTTTCATCTTCAACCATGAAATTTTGCTGAGTGGGGGCCCATGTGTACATTGTTGGAATAGGCGTGACAGCATTTATTACACATATTGGCACTTGTTGGGTACCACCTCCGTTATAAATTGTCACTTCTGCTCTTTTGACGCAGTCCACATGCGGTGGATCATATGGTTGGGCCTGCCAAACCTTCGGCTCACAATACAGATCTTGAACATTGTAATTGTGTTCGTCCCTGCAAAAATATGAATTTAGAACCAATTATAAACTGCAATTTATAAGACCACAAACCAATTCTTTATCCATGCTTCCTTTATTTCATCCGCCCTTTTGTATCTTTTCTGCTGTCGAATTTTCATATATTCCTTTTTAACACGTCTCTTCCATTCCAACGGTACTTTCAGATTATTTGTCATAATAACAATTTCTTAAGGAATTTAATATAACTTTATTGGATGAAAAAATGCAAATATTGCCAAAAACAGAAAACTTTTGCAAAAATACACGCACCAGCGGCGCCAATAAATACAGAATACAGAGTTGCCAAGATATACAATTTTATTACAGCAAGCAAAGTGAAATAGTTGCGGCCAAGGTAGATCTAACAGGTAACCGCATCGGCGAATTGCTACAACAAAGTAACTTTTGTGGTCCCCTCAAATGTCAAAATTGGCATCTAAGGCGAAAAACATAGATTCGCCATGACATTTAAAGGTTGCGGCAAATTTGTTTCAACCAATCAGAAACGAGGTGTTTGTTTATATTTTATTTTGTGTGCCTCTCGTCGTAAACGAACGTCGCAATTTATATTCAATAGAAAATATAGAAAAAATGGTTTAAAGAAAAAAAAAACATAGCACCAATATCGTTCTATGCAAAATCAGGGTACCAACACTCCGAAGCATATGGCCATACATTCACCACATATTCAATAGCAGCAACAGCAGGATATGAATATCAAAATCTCAATAATTTGGCCAATAGCCAACAACATAATATCCAGGAACAGAATCGCAAAAAATTGGATAGAATTCATTGGAGCCGAATTCTTGCACTACTTCCCGTGATGTGCTTTGGATTAAAATGGTCCATACAAATCATAGATGTTGGGGCTATCTTAATTCCTCAAGCTGCACTCCATTCTAACCTCCTTCCTTTGTCTTTAGGGACACTAAATAGTGTTAAATTTCCATCACAATATTTCTTATTGCAAATCGAGCACTTTTTCATTTTCTTTTAATTTTTACTGGTTTCACTCTAAACTTGCTCTTAAATTAATTATTAAATTATTTAGGGAAGAAAACATAAACAAATTTGTTGTTGCATTCATTTAGGGCGAATTCATCATTACAACAATTTGTTTTGACATTTAATGGTGCCGTCAGCTGGGCTGATGCGATTACCTAGTACATCTACCTTGGTTGCGGCAGAAAATAAAACAGATGGTGAAATTCCATACCTGCCCTTGCCTAAATAAATGCGTGCTAAGAACTACCATGGTGCAATAAGGAGGTAGAACAGCTTCGTAAAATTTCAGTAGTACAACCCTGATGCTACAACCGCTTCCTGTCAAATTCCATTTTCATTTATTTCATATTTTATTTAATATTTTCCTCATTCTTAAAATCAGTTAAATAGCGGTCAAAATAATTAAATGCCTGGATTTTCTGGCAAATAAATTCAATGCACGTCTCGCAATATACGCGTCTTCCAAAAATAGATTTTCAAAATATTTTGTTATTATTTTTAAAAACAAAAAATACCTTACCTGGTAGCTCTACCTTACCTTTCAATTGTACCATGATAACTAGCAAATTTTCATGGTAGAAAAATATAGGTACACGCATCGACACAGCTGCTGAGACAATAAACTGTCAAGCCAATTTTGGAATTGAAAATGTTGAATGAAATGTTGAACAATTATTTAAATTTGTAAGAAATGTTGAAAAACGCGAATTATAATAACCACAGTATGACGTCGTAAAAGAAAACATATAAAAATCTACTTATATTTGAAAAAAAAAAAAACATTTACATTTTTTTTGACATATCAATGTTCCGAACCTTTGGTGCGTCTACATGAATTTTTCTACCATGTATATTTTGGTAATTTTTTTGTAAGTCTATTGTACTGTCTAAGTAGAAAAAGTGTATAAAAACAAATGTTTTTGAATGATTTCAAAGTCTAATTAATACAATACGAGTTTGATGTTTCCTACTTTTCTGGTTGTGCGGGTTTTGCAATCATTTCCAAGGCAGGCCAAGGAAATCATCTGAACTCAATTTTTTCTTATGTTAGCTTTGTAATGTCAAAAAATTTACGAAGCTCTTGTATGTTTGTTTGAACAATAAACAAAAACCTTTGGAAAATTTTCAAATTCTGTTGAAATTTAAATTCATTCTTAAGGTAAGGTCACATTGGGCAAATATTTGACGAAAAATGTGAAATATTTCTTTGTCACAATCTGACCATCAAATATTATTTGACGGTAAATACAAAAACAGCTGATTTTGGGAAAACAAAATTATTTGCCGGAAAACAAAAATTTGACCAATGTGTCCATAATGTGAACACATATGATCAATTATTTCCTCTTTTTTTGTCAAACATTTATTTGACGGTGCAAATGATTTGTAAGGTCAAACAAGGAAAAACATCAGTTTAAAACATTGGGCAGCATTTTGCTTTAACAACAGGAGCATTTGTAGCATGATGTTTAATGAATAAAATAAAACAAACGAATGCAATAAGTGGCTTTGTTCATTTGATATTTTTGAACTAACTGAATTTGAATGTTTAGTAAAAAATGTGTATATTTGGTCTGTTCCAGAACTGCCAGAATGTAAGTGTTTTTACTATGATAACCGATTTTCCCTTTATTATATCGAAGAAAATTGCGAAACTAGTAGATTCTTGCAGGTTCTGGAACAAGATATAGGTAGATGCATCAACGCTTGAAACAATGATATGTCAAAAATTTTGAAATGTTTTGACAAAAATAAGTAGATTTTTCTATGTTTTCCTATACGGCGAAAAATCGGAGGTTGCAATGATATATATTTTTCAACAATTTTTACAAATTTCAATAATATTTCATTCATTATTTTCAATTCCAAAATTGTTTTGACAGTTTATTGTCCCAGCAGCTATGTCGATGTAACTACCTGTATTCTTCTACCATGATACAAACAAAAATGCAAAATAAAATTGTTGTAACAAGGAATTTATTCCACAACAGCTGGTCTTTTGCTTCCCTTCTCCAAATAAATTATACCCGAAACTACATTTTCTTTATATCTCTCTTTCACTCTCTCTGTCTATTTCTCTCGGCCAAATAAATTTGTTTCCTCACAGTTTGATCAAACAATTTAATGGGAAAATATATTTTACGAATGTGAACATGTGTCAAACATGTTTTCCCATGGCACTGTTTGACGCTGTTTGGTGACTGCTTGAACAAACAAAATCTGTCAAATATTTGACTGTAATGTGAACATCGAATCAACTCTGTATGAATTTTACATTTGTTCCGTCAAATATGGGAAAACAAATTTCGATCAAATATTTGCCCAGTGTGACCGTACCTTTACAGTCATGGTTCATTGAGAAAGGTTGCTCAACTCAACTCAAAGAAACTAGAAAAATTCAACTCTGTGCTGTAGTGTCAAATAGACTTTTAAATATGCAACAGTTGATTTTGTTTATTTTATTAATTTCTTAAACAAATTCTTATATTGGGGAAAACCCGCGAAACAAGAATGAAATTTTAGAGATATATTCCACAAGATTGAATCTAATATAGTAGGACAATACAGATTTATTTTAAAATTGTACAATGAGGTGCCCATTGACGTCCAAAATATGCTTTAATTCGAAATAAATTCAAAATTTATTCAAAACAATAAACACACATACACAAAATGGGTATATGTTTTGACAGAATATGGGCACCAAAAGAAAAACATTGTATTTAGGGGGTAGCATGGTAGAAGAATATAGGTAGACGCGTCGACACAGCTGCTGGGACAATGAACTGTCAAACCAATTTAGGAATTGAAAATTTTGAATGAAAAATTATTTAAATTTGTAAAAATTGTTGAAAAACGCGAATTATAATAGCCTCCGAATGGCGTTGTATAAGGAAACATATATAAATCTACTTATATTTGAAAAAACATTTAAATTTTTTTGACATATCAATGCTCCCAAGCGTTGTTGCATCTACCTGTATTCTTCTGCCATGGGGGTAGCTTTGTTCTACTTTCGGTAATTGTGCCATGCCAGCTTTTCCGGAGAGTATATTTTTGCATTTTGTGATGAAAAATAATTGTAATTGTATTATGAATACGGTATTGTGCCAATTCGTGTTGGTATTTATTGTTTGATAAAAATGCAAAGAACAGTGTTGGCTCGTTTGTTAGGGATGCCATAGTTTTTTGTTGTTGCAAAATGGTCAGGCTTAATCCCTTTATTGTTGTTTTTATAAAAGCAACGTTTGTTTATTAGTGGAGAACGATGGTAATGTTTACCAGGGGGTAAGGCAAGGAATAACTAGGTTTCGGAAAGAACCACCAATCCTCATAAGCTCCATTGTTTTTTGTCTGGGATATTCTCCCCAGAAGTTATTCTAAAAATTACTTCTATGACAAAAAACCTTTTTACCCAAGTGACGAGATCGTAAGCTTAATAGAAGAGGAACAAAAGAACTGCATAAAACTAAAATTGTTTTGGAAGATCTTTTAAATCTTTCAACCGCACGTAAATTGCGTTTTACCAATATTTAACGGTTTGGATCATATTTTTTAAAAGAATTCCAATTAATTTCGGCAAATTTGGCGATTTATAATGCATTTATCAGAATAGACATTTTCAACTATACCTATGCGCTTTCACTTTTCATATTATCGGGAAAAATTCTCTAAATTGCACTAAAGTGAAATTTTATTTTGAGAAAAGTATGTACATATACAAGGCATGGTAAAGTTAACAAGGAAACGTCATATCAAATAAGCATATCCATATCTGCTTTTTCTGTAATTTACCTTGTCAAATTTCACGGCATAGAAAACAGGTTCCCATGATTTGTGTATGTATAATGGATTTACAAGTATACATTTTGACAATAACACGTTGTCAAATGAATGATTTTGAAAAAATTGTGAACATATCATTGCATGACATTACCTAATTCATTCTACCATGATACATGCTATATAAAGCGTACATACGCAGCTTGGCATCATGTCAAATTATAAAGGAAAACGACAAAACCGAAAGAATTTATGTGCGGCTCTGGCGAAGACTTCAAGCTGGTTATGTACTCTCACCTTAAATCATAGGTATTGAAATATTTTTTTTTCAAACATTTCTGTATTTATGTCAAAACTGTCATTTTACCTTCGACTTCGAATTTTATTTTTATTGTTCGAATTTCGAATTTTATTTTTATTGTTTTAAGCTGCTATCAGATGATAAGGGTTTTACATATGTGCTGTCACTTTTATTATCCATGTGTATGTCAAAATTGCCATTTTACGTATGACTCGTAATTCTTGCTTTCACACACTTGCGTATGGTTAACGTGACCATACGTCCCGCTTTGGGCGGGACAGTCCCGCTTTGAGGTTATCTGTCCCGCTGTCCCCAGCGAGAGCAAAAATGTCCCGCTTTCGAAAATACTGGATATTGATATTGATGAAAAATACATGAGTTATTTTTTCCCCGTGAAC